TTGAACTTGAAACACTAACTGAACCAGCAACGAATACACGCAGCACACACATTGCAATAAATGGCTACACATCGAACGAATAAATGCTTCTGTTGGATTGTTTGTGTGTCATTGCGCACGCAACAAGTGGTGTGAAGGGCTTATTTATAAATATAGCAGTCTATATCTATGTATACCCATTCACTTTCATTTATTTTATCTACACTACTGAATAAAGCCACCAAAAAAATGAGTCACTTGACTAATGTGTAAATTCAACGAAATTAATGAATTATTTCAATTATTTAGATATATATTTATTCATGAAATCCATTGAAAGAATAATTATATCAATATTTATAAAATTGAAAATCAAAAGCAGAACAACATATTTAGTTTTATTTGTTAAACACTTAAATATTTGCTTCTATATATCTTTCATTAGCATAAAATAATAAAATTCGTTAAATTCTGTAACTTAGCGCAGAAGTATGTTTCCATTGATTACAAATAACAATAACAATTTATACATATATTATTTATTTCTTTGTCATCATTTGCTCTTAAGTTCACTCTCGATTTCCTCAACAGATTCAGCTGAAAAATTCGGAAATAAGATATTTAAATTCGGTGAATTGCGTTGCTAACCATTTCAACTATTTTCCACTGATCGCAACCATTTCGGCCAGTCGATAAAGTTGTAAATATATAAATTACACAGCAGGGTTTCAAATAGGTAAACAACTTTTAGTGGAAATGATAATGCGTCCTTTTTTTTGGAATATGCATGTGTTTTTTGGCAAATGAGTTACAATTAAGTGGCTTGCGAGAATGATGATGAAAATGAGCTGATGTCTTTTATTTGGCAGCATATATTTAATATCCTTGATCAATGCTGTAAAATTCAAGTGCACTTCAAACTCCAAGCAAGGCAAGTCTCTATCAATGTTTGTTTGGCCTAAAAATAAACCAGTTTGGAGTGCTATAATAGAGAGTGCCAAACTAGTAGATATCTAGCACATAACCTGGGTTTTATTTAAAACTTTATTCTTTTAACTACAAAATACTCCTTGCGAATTGCCTAATATTTTTTAAAATACTTAAATGCAAAACCAAATTTTAAGTACGTTTTTACAAAGCCCTTTCAATACAGGGTATATCACAATTGGTAAATTACTGGCCAAAATGACGTGCAAATTCAGTTGGCCAAGCACTTGGGCTGATAAGCACAATCATTTGGCATTACAATTCCAAAGTTGGCATTGGACACCCGCAAGCCAAACGGGTTTGGCTGCGATACAAGTGACAAGTGAACATGGAAAACTAATTTATGTGTGTGGTGCAAGCGACAGGAAGTTGCAAGCAGCTACTAAACAGCATAATATTTCTTCAACAAGTATATATACATATATATATATATATATATATATATATATATATATAATGAATCGGAATGCAGTGGCAGTGTCTTAATGAAAGTTACAGCGACACTTGTGAAGACCTTGACCGGGTCTGATTTTGATTCTGATTTAGATTCGGATACAGATACTGATACTGATGCCGAGCAACGGTAATATGAAACCGCTAAAAAAAATTGTACGTAGTGATTGCAGTTACGTTAACAACATTTTGCTCTTAACAAGATCTTTTTCTTTTTAACTCTTCAGCTGGCCCACGGGCCTGGAACGTGTTAAGGAATCGGTGTCTATCGCAGCATCTGCGATATGAGCAACAAGTTGGCCGGTTTCATTTCTTTTGCCAGCGGCCATAAGTCATATCACTTGCTGTTGTTGCTGTTGCTGTTGAATTTGCTGCTGTTGTTGATGTTGTTGTTGTTCTTGTCGTTGGTGTTACCACTGCTTATTACTGACCAAGTTATGCTGCCGCAATGTGTCATGTTGGCCCGCTGGCGACTACAACTTGGCAATGTGTTGCCTGTTCCTGTTGCATCTGCCTCTGCCTCTGCCTCTGCCTATCTCTCTCTCTCTATCCGTCTCGCCACAGATTTCACACCTCCCACAACGGGAGGCGAGAGGCCGCTTCAGGCGCCAGGCGAACCAAAACAGCTGGCACCCTGGCAGCCAGTTGGCCACATCAGCAGCCACATCGATCTTCATTCAGATTACCTCTCTCGCAGCTTAAGTATACCCTTTTAAAGATGATTGAAAGGGTATATATTTAAGTTGGCCTACATGAAGCTTTTAATAGCTTATTCTACTTGTTTTACAAACAATACAGATAAAGATTCAATTATTCATGCATTAGCTGTGAGAAGCGTTAGCAAGAAAGAGGTAAGCAGAGAGACTTGAACACATTTTTAGATTTTCTCTTGATTGTTTCTCCCACTTTCTCTTTATCTATAAGTCGACTACCAGCAACGATTACTTATTTTTCACTATCCAATACCTAAAGCAGTTAATGGGGTATTTATAAGTCGAGTCCTACCAAAGCTGGCTTCTTCTTTGGTCTTGTCGCTGGTCTCCTTGGCTGGCATCTTCATCTTTATTAATCGCTACATTTATTTGATTATCTTGCCGGAGCGAACTCCTTGCTGGCGGTTGGAGGCGACTTCTTGTTGAGATTTATGCCCCGGCCGTGTTATTTACGCGCTAATCATGCAACACTTTTCATTTTGACACGTTCGGGGCGGCTCGCATAAAAGCGCTGGGAGAGCGGTAATTATGTAAATTTCGTAGTTGTTGTTTCTGTTTCACCAGATTGACCATGGCCGGGGGTAACCACTTTATGATCTATGCTGGCCGATTCGTGCTTAGAAATGAACACAAATTGATAAAAGCAACATCAGCCAACGAGTTTCGAACTCTATTTTTATGGCCCAGCACGATCAAACGTTTCATTTGCGATCGCCCCGTTTGTTTTCACTGGCGAACACGTCGCTAACATAAATTAACCAACTCGCCGGAGTCGCAGATGTGGCTGGCGAAGCAGGAGGAGCACGAGAAGGAGGAGGAGGAGAAGATGGAGCAGGCGTAGGTCCCGCTGACCGCAGTTAACGCTCTGCAATTCCAGGGAAAATGCGCTGCGTGTTTTGACACCAAACATCCGCCTAAAGCCGCACTCGCATTGGCTCCCTTCGTAAACAAGGGCTGCACGAGAGTGACAGACGAGGGGTGTACTGCCAGGCAGGGGAGGCAGGCGTGGAGGGAGGCCACTTCGCGTGGAGACGTTGATCTTGTTAGCCGTTGCCGCTCATGCGCATGACTGCAATTTAAGCGCCATAAATTGTGTGAGCTCAACGTTCTCCCATGTCGTTGGCAATGTGTCAAAGTTGTAATGCCATTCAATATATATCCACATAGGGTATTGCACATAGGGGTACATTGCTGGGCTTATATTTTTGGGATTATTGAATTGTAAATACTGCAATATATAAAATAGAAAACACTTTACGTGAGTAACAACAAGTTTTTAGTTTTATCAGCTTACTAACATATTTTGTAGAACATTTAGAACATTTATTTTATACTGTAAACATATATGGTTTTTCATATTATGTAGCTGATTTTTGAATTATGCTTAATTTCAATTTATTTATTAAAACTTCAAAAATGTATGCAACTTCTAGTTGCTCATAAATTGAATAAGAGGTCAACCAAGATAGCAATGTGGCAAGGGCAAAGTCTGTGCAACGGCTTAACAATTTTATAGGGTATTTGTTGTAAGTTAATTGCTGACATTCTCGTTCCTTTCTTTCTCCAATTGAGTGCTGGCAGTTATTGCTGGCCTGCATTTTCATCAGTAAGACGCTGAATTAGAAGACTTAATAGGATTTTAGTCAGAGAGCTGAGCAATGTCGCCTTCAAAGTGGCTGGCTGAGTGGAAGGGTTGGGGGTTACTGCACTGCGGGGGTTCGTTGTGTTGACATATGCAAATGAGAAGACTAATTAAACAATCCTTTAAAACACAAAGACGGCAGGCATAAATAAATTATATGCCATAACATTTATTTATGTAATGTTGACATTTTCTACACAATTTACAGCAGCTGTTGTTGGCATATGTGTAACTGACAAACTGGTAGACAGTTGCTAATGAAGTCTGAACTGAGATCTGATATGTGCGATCACCAATCGCAGATCGTATGTTGTGAATTACCGATCAGAAATCATTCGATGGCATTTAATTAAACATCAACATTTTATTCCAAGCGGCGTTACTGACAAATGATAATTGCTATTTGCATGACAATTCGAGTCGCTGTCGTACTCTGGCCAAGATCATTCAAGTTTACCCAACTTAGCCAAGTTAACCAGGCGCCATGTGGCTTTGAAATGTTGCTGGCCTACCGAGACTAATGCACTTGGTTACGCCTTGCACTTCCTGCTTATTTGATACGCCTGAGCAGGCAGCCTGGCCGCATACCGCGATCATCATCATCATCATCAACAATAACAACAGCAACAACAACAACTCAGAGGAAAGCACGATCAATGACAATTATACATATACATTATACATACACATTATACATATACATATACTTAATGCCCCGAAAAAGATGTGTGGCGATCATATTTCATGAACTTGACATTGAAAACAACGTCTGTCAATCAGTCTAAGAGCCGCCGATCATTATCAGTGATCCTCTGCGATCCCAAATGATATTAATTTTTGGTCTTAAGTGCCCGTTTAATTGTTGTTGATGCTGCTGCTACTGCTGCTGGAGCAAGCATTGAGTTTATTTTTAGGGTATGCGCACCCAAGTGCTGCCCATGAATCTGGAGACTTGCAGGGGCAAAAAGTATCCAATTGCAATACTGACAACATCACGTACAAAGTGCAACTCGGCTTAGCTGTCAATCAAAATCGTACACACGATCAGTTGCTGCCCCCATTCAGAGGTTAAAGGGTTGTTGAACTGGAATGCAACCAATAAGTGGAGCTATGAATTAGGATGTCAATCACGACCAGTTCATTAGTTAAAACTATCAGCATAAATACCCTGCTATCTACAATAGAAATAAAGAGAAAGAGCTGAAACCCAAAGCGCCAACTTTTGACAAGATTCAAATCTTAATTTAAGTTTCTTCCATTGATAATAATGTTTACAAATAATGGCAACTTCATAGTTTAGTTAAGTTGAGTTACATTATTAATCTTCTGCTAATCTTGATTCTGATAGACTTATTAATTTAAAAGATTTATTTATTTTTATGTTATTCTGATTAAATGACATAGTCTGAACTTAACTACTATGATTGAAATAGTTTGGCAGTTAAAAAACGGACTCAAATTCCTGTTAAGATAGCAGATATTTGACATTTGACTTAAAATTACTAAAACTTTTTAGAGTGTGTACTAACAGAGCTCTATTAAAATCATTTGTGACCAGGGTGTCAAACAATATTGAATTTCGGATCCGGTTCCGGTTCTTGTATGTAAAATATAAAATTTTAGGTGAAGTTTATGAATTTGATTCAATATATTTTTCTCGTTACTCTACTAAGTGAAAAAATAATTTCGATTCCAGTAACTGGCTCTATAAAAAATAATGAATTGTGCTACCGGTTAAAGCTGTGCATTTCAATCGGTAAAGTTGCAGTACCGGTTCCTGTTCGACGGAGTGCTTATGACGGAGTCTGTTTAGCTGCTTATCAGACTGGGCTCTTTAAATTGCATAACATATTATCAACTATCAAAGACTAGAAAGTAGTCCCGACGTAACTTTTCGATACTATTTCTGTCTGGCTGTTCCTTTGATTAATTGTTGACTTTGTTGTCTTTGTTCAGCCCTCGCTGTAAGCGTTTTTTATGTGCTAACATATCGCAAGCGGGCGGCTAATCAATGATAGATAAGCACCTGATAATACCAAAAACAAAGGCCAAAATGAATTATTTCGACTATCTAGAAAACAAATTTTTTTTTTGCCCAGCCGTATTTTCGAAGGTTTCCTATCTTTTTTTCAGGTACTTGAATATGGCCCACAATCAAGAAGAGCAACAACAAAAACAATAAGAATAATTGAATACTGGAATGTGTGAGTAATCTAATAAATAAAATGCCTTAAAGTGCTAAGAGTTATTGCCAGCACAATAAACGATTAATGCCCATTTCGATGGTCGTTCCACTCTTTGCCCAGTGCCTGATCGCGAGCCTGCTGGCGGAGCACTTTGCCACTGCCCGTCTTGGGCAGTTCGTTCAGAAAGAAGACGCCACAGTGAAGCTGCTTATGGGTGACCACCAGACGCCTCGCCACATACTCGACAATATCCATTTCGGTGAGACGACTGCCGGGTATCTTGACCACAGCGGCTGCAGCCGGGTCGCCATCGACCTCATTCCACAGTCCAAAGACGCAGGCCTCTATCACATCCGGCAGCTCAGCGATGACCTGCTCCAGTTCGAAGGGGCAATATTGAGCGCCATGGAAGCGCAACATGTCCCGTTTGCGCTCCACAATGTACAAGAAATTCTCGTTATCAAAGTAGCCCATGTCGCCGGTGTGGAACCAGCCTTGATAGTCCTGCATTCGCTTCGATTCACTCGGATTGCCATAGTAGCCATTCCACACTTTGCTATTGTGCACGAGAATCTCACCAGTTTCGCCGTGGCCCAAACTGCGACCGGCGTCATCCAGTATTTTTACCTTGACGCCCGGCACAATTCGGCCCACGGACGAGGGCTTGGCCACTCCCATATTGGCCGCAACGCCACCGCATTCGGTTAGCGCATAGCCATACGAGATTTGGCCATTCAACAGGAATTCCTGCAGCTTGAGCAGATTGGCCACATAGCAATTGCCGCCGCCAATGCTGATGAATCGCACGCTGCTCAACCTCAGTTTGCTGAGAGTGGGTGCCTTCAGGAGTGATGCCGCCTGCTGCGGCGCCACAGTCAGCAGCGTGACCTTGTACTTCTCGATCAGCTGTAGCATATATTCCGGCGTATAGGAGCGATCGGTGATGCAGCGCGTCGAGCCGTGACAGCAACTGAAGAGCATGTTGAACAAACCGGGCGCCCAGTCAATCGTGCTAAACGACAGCAACACATCCTGTCCGGTGACAAAGCTGGGCAAGTGAAAGGCAAATCATTTAGTGGCTGTACATCTCTATAATTCTTACGATTCGTACCCAAAATCGAACAGACAAGCGGAGTTGGATATGCAAACCGCTTTCGGCGGCCCAGTGGTGCCGGAGGTGCAGAGAATGGCCACCGTCTGATCGCCGCCCAGCATCAGTGATTCCGGTCTGTGAGCAGAGGGTTAAAAGTTAGTTTGAGCAATCTAATTCTTATTAAAATGTATCTTTTATCGAATTGTTTTGTGATTCTTAACATACAAATTAGAATTTAACAGTTATGTTTGTCTTCAAATTGTTTTTCGATTTATATTTTTCAAATTTGATCAATCTAAAACTATTTTCTGGCTTTATCTGGATCAATCGGAGTAATCGTAGTATTACAACTATTGTAATTACAGATCTGTGAGAATATCGTGTTAGTCAGTTACTCACACATAGTACAACTCCTGCTTGGTGGGCTCCAGCAGATCCTCAATGCGCGGCAGCTGCAGTCGATGATCCTTGAGCGTATAGACAGGCGCCTTGAGCATTTTGGCAATGGCGCTGAGTCGCGCGTAGACCAAACCATCACAGAATATAATTCGAGGTCGGGTGATGCAAAACAAATGCTTGAAGGTCGCTTCGTCGTGCCAAGGACTGACTGCATGAAAGGGTGTTCCGTTGAGCAGACAACCGAGCACCACTGGCATTAGATATGTGGTATTTGTGCCCGCAATCCCAACCACATCGTCCTGCCGCAAATTCATCGCCTTCAGCTGCTGAGCAATGCGTATGGCAAAGCTGATGGCCTCGCCATTGGTTAAAGCAGTGCCTTCCGTATCGGAAATCTGCAAAAAATTGCAATTTGCTTATGAATATGAAATTATATGAAATTACACAATTTGATTAGTTTAATCGCACCTGACACAAGTTCGCCGGATGATTGCGCATAAACGCAAATAGTATTTTGCCAATGGAGCAGTCGGCGTCAAAGAAATGCGCCGGCCTCGGACCACTCCATATTTTTGTGTATTTATCGAACTGTGTGCTGGGGCTGCGTTCCATGTTTCCTGATAACTGATAAGAGTCGTCGAGTGTGTGCGGTCGTCCGAGCGTCACGCAAGTTGTTCAGCAACTGGCGACCCTTGCTTGGCCAACCAGTCCACAGTGCTTATCTCCTTATCAGGTAACCGGTTGCCTATCAAACGGTTAACAGACGTCACCTATCTAACCGCAACCCACACGAAAAGTAAAAGCTCAAGCTCTATAGATAAGCTATGCTAGCGATAAGCGCTACCCAAAAAGCTACAGATTGTCCGGCAGATAGTTATAGTTATGGTTGTCCTTGACTTCGTTTGGCCAGAGTTATCTGTCCGAGCGGCAGACCTGCAGTCGAATGATTTATTTTCGAATCAGTCTGATTTGAAAATATACAATTTTGCTTCGTCGCGAATTTGGACAATTGGATATCGCACAATCAGTGGTAGATTATCGCAAAAGAATAATTATAATAAATTATAAATAAATTACTTTAGATTGATACGATTGCCGCTAGATATTTCCTGCCAACTACCAATAAATTACCGAAATCTGCAGAGTTCTGATGGGCAGTAATTATACTTGAATGGATAATCTCTATTCGGAACAACGTAATTATTTTGAATGCTGCTTATCAATTGCTGTTGAATGGTTTAAGTACATTTTTAAGCCACTGTAGCGCATACGACTGATTATAGTCATTTTGTTTATTTACTTATAAAGTATACATTACCCGGCTTTAATGACAACCACATTTTAAATTGTTTGTTTCTGAGAAACTATACTCAAAATTGCCATACAGTTGTCATGAGTTATAGACTTTCTCTTTGCAAGCATTAAGCCTTTTGGTCTTGGGTCTTGGCTAGTTATAAAAATCAGTATAATTGTTGTTTGAGTAGCTCACGCAAAATTTAAAGATTTTCCATTGAAAACTTTAATATATTTTTATTGATGAATATTTGTAAGCTTATTTTGAGCTTAGTTATTTTTATCTGTAACTTCGAGAAAATAGGCCTTCATTAATTGTTGATTCGTCTTTCCATTGGGGCTTCTTTTCAGATCGTCCACAATTATTGCACCTCCATGTAAATGTTTGTAAATGGCACTGCAATGCCCCTTCACAAAGTCAACCACATCCTGTGCCTGGATTTTTGAACCAATCTTCTTTACCACAGCAGCGGCAGCCTTGTCGCCGACGAGTGGATTCCAGATGCCAAAGACACAGACCTCAGCCACGCCTGGCATCTGAGAAATGACTTCTTCGATTTCGTGTGGATAGTACATAATATTCTGGTACTTGAGCATATCCTTCTTCCTGTCCATTATATAGAGAAAACCATCATCATCCATATAACCCAAGTCTCCAGAGTGAAACCACTTTTCCGAGTCACGCACATTGCGCGTCTCCTCCGGATTCCCATAATATCCGGCCCAATACTGTCCACTGTAGACACATATTTCTCCAACTTTGTTTGGTCCCAGTGTATTGCCCTGTTCATCAAGTATTTTCAGCTTATAGTCTTCCTCCAAACGGCCAACTGAATTTGGTTTCTTATCAAATTCACAGTTCACGGACACTATACTGCCCGCCTCCGTAAAACCATACATAAAGTACATACAATCGAACTGCAATCGGCTCCGTATGAGTTGTTGCGCCTCCAAAGAGCACCGACCACCTCCGAAATTGTAGAATCGTATGCTATCAAGGTTAGCTTGCTCAAATTCCGGACAGTTTGAAATCATAGCCATATGAGAAGGCGCTTGCATCAACCACGTGACTTTGTATTCCTTAATGACACGCAAAAAACGCGCTGGATCAAAGGGATTATCAGCTATAATGCGCTTAGTGCTGTAAACTCCCGAAGATACCGTCGTCGCAAGACATGTCAACCAGTCTAGAGTACTGTGTGTGTACTGAACGTCGTCTGTCGTAAGAGATCTAACATTGATCGGACATTACTAAATTGAATATACATATACATTTTGTTAATTTACCTGCAGGTGATCAATATATTGCGACTGTTTGATATGGTCACTGCCTTGGGAATACCCGTTGTCCCAGAAGAGCAGAGAATGGCCAAGGTTTGATCATTTCCCTGTTCCAACCGAGCAGGTTGAAAGTCCGTTTCTACAGGCGTAGCAAAGACTTCCTCAATGCTAATCGATCCACTCTGATGGTTACGCATCGTAATGATCTTCGCATTTAATTTCTCCGTAGCTGACTTTACTTTCTCGTAGTCTTCACCATCACAGAAAATCAGACGTGGCTTCGTTATGTCGAAGAGCTTCTCAATAGTTGATTGTTCATACGATGTATTTAACGAATGAAACGCAATACCATTAAAGAAACATCCATATACAACGGCGAAGATGTGCGTAGTATTTCTTCCTATAATTCCCACAATATCCGTTTGCACTAATCCCAAGGATCTCATATAGCTTGCCACATGCATTGAGTTCAAATGGAGCTCCTCTCGGGTTAATACAGTGTTCTCAGTGTCTGAGATCTGTTCAAGAATACAATTTGGTTAGTTATGTAATATAGACTAGGCACCTGTAGTGTACCTGAGCTATCAGTTTCGGATGACGTCGCATCTCATGGAATATAATCTCGCCTATGGATATATCAGGAGCAAAGTAATTACTGCACTGCGGTCCACTCCAGATTTTGTCCTCAGCATTATAGTTGCTTTCCGTATTGTAGGGCATTGCGAATACTGCTTATCGAGTTTGTAAATGTAACTGATGAAATTAATGCGAAACTGGTGACGCTTTATACTCATCAGATAAGAAACGCTCTTCCCACATCATAATTTAATCGGGTAATGTGAAGGCTGCTGAGGGTTGGGTTGGGGCAGGCGGAAGCTTTTTAGAGCAAATATTTATGTAAATATAAAATGTACTCGTATTCACTAGTCATCATTTCGCAGCTTTTAATGTGAGTCGTGATACGTAACATTTTTTATCTAACGTGGACTTTCTTCTCCGGTTATTATACAGTCTTCACTCTTGGAGATCTTGTCGATGCGCTTTGAACTGAAATGTAATTTGTAATTTGATAATCAAATATAAAACATTTATTCGAGATATTAATTAATTAACGAAGGCATATTCAAGCCCCAAAATGTATAATAAAAATCTGTCGAAGCAAACCCCATGTATAAGATACACTTTTTTAAAATTATATGACCATATCCAATTTCTATACCATGAACCCACTAAAAATGGGTAAAAAGGGTATAATGGTTTTGTGCAAATATATGTAACAGGCCGAAGGAAGTATCTCCGACCCAATAGAGTATATATATTCTTGGTCAGGGTCAACAGCCGTGTCGATAGTAGCTACCTCCGTTTTTCGATTATCGATACTTTTAAATATGTATCAATAAATACTACAATTTTAAAGGCAGAATCTTCTAATTAATACAAAATATGCATATGTATATTGTTGATCAACTCTCAAAATTTCATCAAGATCGGGTAAGAAAGATCCAAGTTATAATCGAAAATATATTCTCATATTGATCTCATTTCTATCAGCAGCCGCACGCATTTTCGATCACATGTGTAAGATATATATATATATATATGAATATTGACGTATTTGTGGGCAGAGTGCAATTGCAGACCTGCTCACATTTTGGTGCAAGACTTTTAATAGGAATTTTCCTAGTACAACTAGAATATATTTAACAGCTGGGTTCAGGATAAATCGTAGTCGGGCTCACTCGACTATAGCACACTTACTTGTTTAGGTAATGAATTTAAGCGATTGTAAACAGAATTTGCCACCGAAAGTTTTTTGATTACACAATATTATCACTTTAGCAAAATCGGACTGAAGCTATGAAAATTGAAGCATACTCTTGGGCTACATATAAATTCAACATAGTTCTTTTGGACGTTCCTGTACACGATGCCAGTGACCCTAATTAGGTTGCTGCACCAGCTACATGATTCTTAGGGACTCAAGGGCGACGAGGAAAATGGCTCTAACTCAAGGAATGCGTTAGAATTACGAGTACCTACTCTATCGAACTACATTCAATGATTATGGGGTTCTCTAAGAAAACCTTTAATACTCCAGATGTAGACTTGTCAATGTAACTAATTGCAGAAAAGAGTAGTTGGTTGCCCTTTATGTTAGTTAACATGGTGTGTGTACATCATAGTATGCATATACGGTATGATTATTTGATGTACCAAATATATTATTTTATTTTGTTTTGTTGGAGCACATACAATTTGTGTGGCCCAAATGAAATATGGCAAAGGATTTCTTCCTTTTAACTCTTTATTTTTAGTTTCAAAATCAGTTATTTTACAGTCAAAATCTGTAATTAAGTTTCAAAAACTATTTCTGATTTAAATAAAATCAAATTTTAATTATCATTTGACTGTTTAAAGATCATTCTTTCATTTACTCCTTGCAAATATTTGTAATTTTTGTCAGTTTTGAGTATGTTGAAGATTAATTTGACATATCAAACTTATTCATTAAATTCAAGAATAAAAATGTATATGTCAGCATCTTAACTTCCGTCTACTAAGGGTCTGTCAGCTTATGCTAAGCCTATTAGTTTTCATCGTTAATCTTTACAAAATATGCCTTTGTTGCAGCTCGATTCGTTTTTCCATTGGGGCTTCTTATCAGATCGTCCACAATTATTGCACCTCCATGTAAATGTTTGTAAATGGCACTGCAATGCCCCTTCACAAAGTCAACCACATCCTGTGCCTGGATTTTTGAACCAATCTTCTTTACCACAGCAGCGGCAGCCTTGTCGCCGACGAGTGGATTCCAGATTCCAAAGACACAGACCTCAGCCACGCCTGGCATCTGAGAAATGACTTCTTCGATTTCGTGTGGATAGTACATAATATTCTGGTACTTCAGCATATCCTTTTTCCTGTCCATTATATAGAGAAAGCCATCATCATCCATATAGCCCAAGTCTCCAGTGTAAAACCATAGCTCCGAGTCACGTACATTGCTCGACTCTTCAGGATTACCGAAGTATCCGGCCCAATACTCACCATTATAGACACATATTTCACCCACTTCGTTGGGTCCTAGAGGCTTGCCTTGCTCTGTGAGTACTTTCATCTTGATGCCATTAAGTAAACTGCCAACTGAATTAGGTTTTTGATCGAAACTTAAGTTTTTTATCACCGCACTACCAGCCTCAGTGAATGCGTATACCTGATGCAAACAGTCATCTCGTAAGCGATCTCTTATACTTTGTTGTACAGCTAAGGAGCAACTACCACCTCCGTACATGAAGTGGCGAATGCTGTGAAGATTCGCTTTCTCAAATTCGGGGCAGTTAACTAACATCGCCATGTGGGAGGGCACCACAATCACCCAAGTGACTTTGTATTCCTCAATTATACGCAAGTAACGCACTGCATCGAATGGCTTATCGCTTATAATGCGTTTAGTACTGTACACGCCGGAACTAACTGTCGTCACCAGCCCTGTCGCCCAGTCCAATGTACTGAGAGAGAATTGCACATCAGCGGTTGTTAGTTTACTAATGAAATAAAATATCTATAATACGGAACATTGTATTTACTAAGCTTTATTTAACTTACTTGCTGGAGTTTAACATCTTGCGACTGTTTGATATGGTCACTGCCTTGGGAATACCCGTTGTCCCAGAAGAGCAGAGAATGGCCAAGGTTTGATCATTTCCCTGTTCCAACCGAGCAGGTTGAAAGTCCGTTTCTACAGGCGTAGCTAAGACTTCCTCAATGCTAATCGATCCACTCTGATGGTTACGCATCGTAATGATCTTCGCATTTAATTTCTCCGTAGCTGACTTTACTTTCTCGTAGTCTTCACCATCACAGAAAATCAGACGTGGCTTCGTTATGTCGAAGAGCTTCTCAATAGTTGATTGTTCATACGATGTATTTAACGAATGAAACGCAATACCATTAAAGAAACATCCATATACAACGGCGAAGATGTGCGTAGTATTTCTTCCTATAATTCCCACAATATCCGTTTGCACTAATCCCAAGGATCTCATATAGCTTGCCACATGCATTGAGTTCAAATGGAGCTCCTCTCGGGTTAATACAGTGTTCTCAGTGTCTGAGATCTGCTCAAGAATACGATTTGGTTAGTTATGTAATATAGACTAGGTACCTGTAGTGTACCTGAGCTATCAGTTTCGGATGACGTCGCATCTCATGGAATATAATCTCGCCTATGGATAGATCAGGAGCAAAGTAATTACTGCTCTGCGGTCCACACCAGATTTTGTCCTCGGCATTATAGTTGCTTTCCGTATTGTAGGGCATTGCGAATACTGCTTATCGAGTTTGTAAATGTAACTGATGAAATTAATCCGAAACTGGTTACGCTTTATACTCATCAGATAAGAAACGCTCTACCCACATCATAATTTAATTGGGTAATGTGATGGCTGCTGAGGGTTGGGTTGGGGTAGGCGGAAGCTTTTTAGAGCAAATATTTATGTAAATATAAAATGTACTCGTATTCACTAGTCATCATTTCGCAGCTTTTAATGTAAGTCGTGATACGTAACATTTTTTATCTAACGTTGACTTTCTTCTCCGGTTATTATACAGTCTTCATTCTTGGAGATCTTGTCGATGCGCTTTGAACTGAAATGTAATTTGTAATTTGATAATCAAAGATAAAACATTTATTCGAGGTATTAATCAATTAACGAAGGCATATTCAAGCCCCAAAATGTATAATAAAAATCTGTCGAAACAAACCCCATGTATAAGATACACTTTTTTAAAATTATATGACCATTTCCAATTTCTATACCATGAACCCACTAAAAATGGGTAAAAAGGGTATAATGGTTTTGTGCAAATATATGTAACAGGCCGAAGGAAGTATCTCCGACCCCATAGAGTATATATATTCTTGATCAGGGTCAACAGCCGTGTCGATAGTAGCTACCTCCGTTTTTCGATTATCGATACTTTTAAATATGTATCAATAAATACTACAATTTTAAAGGCAGAATCTTCTAATTAATACAAAATATGCATATGTATATTGTCGATCAACTGTCAAAATTTCATAAAGATCGGGTAAGAATGATCCAAGTTATAATCGAAAATATATTCTCATATTGATCTCATTTCTATCAGCAGCCGCACGCATTTTCGATCACATGTGTAAGATATATATATATATATATGAATATTGACGTATTTGTGGGCAGAGTGCAATTGCAGACCTGCTCACATTTTGGTGCAAGACTTTTAATAGGAATTTTCCTAGTACAACTAGAATATATTTAACAGCTGGGTTCAGGATAAATCGTAGTCGGGCTCACTCGACTATAGCACACTTACTTGTTTAGGTAATGAATTTAAGCGATTGTAAACAGAATTTGCCACCGAAAGTTTTTTGATTACACAATATTATCACTTTAGCAAAATCGGACTGAAGCTATGAAAATTGAAGCATACTCTTGGGCTACATATAAATTCAACATAGTTCTTTTGGACGTTCCTGTACACGATGCCAGTGACCCTAATTAGGTTGCTGCACCAGCTACATGATTCTTAGGGACTCAAGGGCGACGAGGAAAATGGCTCTAACTCAAGGAATGCGTTAGAATTACGAGGACCTACTCTATCGAACTACATTCAATGATTATGGGGTTCTCTAAGAAAACAAACACTTGAAAGCATTTTACTGGCTAAGCAAACGGAGTCGAAATCCCAAAAACCTAACCTAATGGTAAATAATGATTAAGATTGGATGGCCTTTAATACTCCAGATGTAGACTTGTCAATGTAACTAATTGCAGAATAGAGTAATTGGTTGCCCTGTATGTTAGTTAACAGGGTGTGTGTACATCATAGCATGCATATACGGTATGATTATTTGATGTACCAAATATTTTATTTTATTTTGTTTTGTTGGAGCACATACAATTTGTGTGGCCCAAATGAAATATGGCAAAGGATTTCTTCCTTTTAACTCTTTATTTTTAGTTTCAAAATCAGTTATATTACAGTCAAAATCTGTAATTAAGTTTCAAAAACTATTTCTGATTTAAATAAAATCAAATTTTAATTATCATTTGACTGTTTAAAGATCATTCTTTCATTTACTCCTTGCAAATATTTGTAATTTTTGTCAATTTTGAATATGTTGAAGATTAATTTGACATATCAAACTTATTCATTAAATTCAAGAATAAAAATGTATATGTCAGCATCTTAACTACAAGGGTCTACAAGGGGTCTGTCAGCTTATGCTAAGCCTATTAGTTTTCATCGTTAATCTTTACAAAATATGCTTTTGTTGCAGCTCGATTCGTTTTTCCATTGGGGCTTTTTATCAGATCGTCCACAATTATTGCACCCCCATGTAAATGTTTGTAGATGGCACTGCAATGCCCTTCACAAAGTCAACCACATCCTGTGCCTGGATTTTTGAACCAATCTTTTTTACCACAGCAGCGGCAGCCTTGTCGCCGACGAGTGGATTCCAGATGCCAAAGACACAGACCTCAGCCACGCCTGGCATCTGAGAAATGACTTCTTCGATTTCGTGTGGATAGTACATAATACTCTGGTACTTCAGCATATCCTTTTTCCTGTCCATTATATAGAGAAAGCCATCATCATCCATATAACCCAAGTCTCCAGAGTGAAACCACTTTTCCGAGTCACGCATATTGCGCGTCTCCTCCGGATTCCCATAATATCCGGCCCAATACTGTCCACTGTAGACACATATTTCTCCAACTTTGTTTGGTCCCAGTGTATTGCCCTGTTCATCAAGTATTTTCAGCTTATAGTCTTCCTCCAAACGGCCAACTGAATTTGGTTTCTTATCAAATTCACAGTTCACGGACACTATACTGCCCGCCTCCGTAAAACCATACATAAAGTACATACAATCGAACTGCAATCGGGTCCGTATGAGATGTTGCGCCTCCAAAGAGCACCGACAACCTCCGAAATTGTAGAAACGTATGCTATCAAAGTTAGCTTGCTCAAATTCCGGACAGTTTGAAATCATAGCCATATGAGAAGGCGCTTGCATCAACCACGTGACTTTGTATTCCTTAATGACACGCAACAAACGCGCTGGATCAAAGGGATTATCAGCTATAATGCGCTTAGTGCTGTAAACTCCCGATGATATTGTCGTAGCAAGACATGTCAACCACTCTAGAGAACTGTGTGTGTACTGAACGTCGTCTGTGGTAAGAGATCTAACATTGATCGGACATTACTAAATTGAATATACATATACATTTTGTTAATTTACCTGCAGGTGATCAATATATTGCGACTGTTTGATATGGTCACTGCCTTGGGAATACCCGTTGTCCCAGAAGAGCAGAGAATGGCCAAGGTTTGATCATTTCCCTGTTCCAACCGAGCAGGTTGAAAGTCCGTTTCTACAGGCGTAGCTAAGACTTCCTCAATGCTAATCGATCCACTCTGATGGTTACGCATCGTAATGATCTTCGCATTTAATTTCTCCGTAGCTGACTTTACTTTCTCGTAGTCTTCACCATCACAGAAAATCAGACGTGGCTTCGTTATGTCGAAGAGCTTCTCAATAGTTGATTGTTCATACGATGTATTTAACGAATGAAACGCAATACCATTAAAGAAACATCCATATACAACGGCGAAGATGTGCGTAGTATTTCTTCCTATAATTCCCACAATATCCGTTTGCACTAATCCCAAGGATCTCATATAGCTTGCCACATGCATTGAGTTCAAATGGAGCTCCTCTCGGGTTAATACAGTGTTCTCAGTGTCTGAGATCTGTTCAAGAATACGATTTGGTTAGTTATGTAATATAGACTAGGTACCTGTAGTGTACCTGAGCTATCAGTTTCGGATGACGTCGCATCTCATGGAATATAATCTCGCCTATGGATAGATCAGGAGCAAAGTAATTACTGCTCTGCGGTCCACACCAGATTTTGTCCTCGGCATTATAGTTGCTTTCCGTATTGTAGGGCATTGCGAATACTGCTTATCGAGTTTGTAAATGTAACTGATGAAATTAATCCGAAACTGGTTACGCTTTATACTCATCAGATAAGAAACGCTCTACCCACATCATAATTTAATTGGGTAATGTGATGGCTGCTGAGGGTTGGGTTGGGGCAGGCGGAAGCTTTTTAGAGCAAATATTTATGTAAATATAAAATGTACTCGTATTCACTAGTCATCATTTCGCAGCTTTTAATGTGAGTCGTGATACGTAACATTTTTTATCTAACGTGGACTTTCTTCTCCGGTTATTATACAGTCTTCACTCTTGGAGATCTTGTCGATGCGCTTTGAACTGAAATGTAATTTGTAATTTGATAATCAAATATAAAACATTTATTCGAGGTATTAATCAATTAACGAAGGCATATTCAAGCCCCAAAATGTATAATAAAAATCTGTCGAAACAAACCCCATGTATAAGATACACTTTTTTAAAATTATATGACCATTTCCAATTTCTATACCATGAACCCACTAAAAATGGGTAAAAAGGGTATAATGGTTTTGTGCAAATATATGTAACAGGCCGAAGGAAGTATCTCCGACCCCATAGAGTATATATATTCTTGATCAGGGTCAACAGCCGTGTCGATAGTAGCTACCTCCGTTTTTCGATTATCGATACTTTTAAATATGTATCAATAAATACTACAATCTTAAAGGCAGAATCTTCTAATTAATACAAAATATGCATATGTATATTGTCGATCAACTGTCAAAATTTCATAAAGATCGGGTAAGAATGATCCAAGTTATAATCGAAAATATATTCTCATATTGATCTCATTTCTATCAGCAGCCGCACGCATTTTCGATCACATGTGTAAGATATATATATATATATATATATATGAATATTGACGTATTTGTGGGCAGAGTGCAATTGCAGACCTGCTCACATTTTGGTGCAAGACTTTTAATAGGAATTTTCCTAGTACAACTAGAATATATTTAACAGCTGGGTTCAGGATAAATCGTAGTCGGGCTCACTCGACTATAGCACACTTACTTGTTTAGGTAATGAATTTAAGCGATTGTAAACAGAATTTGCCACCGAAAGTTTTTTGATTACACAATATTATCACTTTAGCAAAATCGGACTGAAGCTATGAAAATTGAAGCATACTCTTGGGCTACATATAAATTCAACATAGTTCTTTTGGACGTTCCTGTACACGATGCCAGTGACCCTAATTAGGTTGCTGCACCAGCTACATGATTCTTAGGGACTCAAGGGCGACGAGGAAAATGGCTCTAACTCAAGGAATGCGTTAGAATTACGAGTACCTACTCTATCGAACTACATTCAATGATTATGGGGTTCTCTAAGAAAACAAACACTTGAAAGCATTGTACTGGCTAAGCAAACGGAGTCGAAATCCCAAAAACCTAACCTAATGGTAAATAATGATTAAGATTGGATGGCCTTTAATACTCCAGATGTAGACTTGTCAATGTAACTAATTGCAGAATAGAGTAATTGGTTGCCCTGTATGTTAGTTAACAGGGTGTGTGTACATCATAGCATGCATATACGGTATGATTATTTGATGTACCAAATATTTTATTTTATTTTGTTTTATTGGAGCACATACAATTTGTGTGGCCCAAATGAAATATGGCAAAGGATTTCTTCCTTTTAACTCTTTATTTTTAGTTTCAAAATCAGTTATATTTCAGTCAAAATCTGTAATTAAGTTTCAAAAACTATTTCTGATTTAAATAAAATCAAATTTTAATTATCATTTGACTGTTTAAAGATCATTCTTTCATTTACTCCTTGCAAATATTTGTAATTTTTGTCAATTTTGAATATGTTGAAGATTAATTTGACATATCAAACTTATTCATTAAATTCAAGAATAAAAATGTATATGTCAGCATCTTAACTACAAGGGTCTACAAGGGGTCTGTTAGCTTATGCTAAGCCTATTAGTTTTCATCGTTAATCTTTACAAAATATGCTTTTGTTGCAGCTCGATTCGTTTTTCCATTGGGGCTTTTTATCAGATCGTCCACAATTATTGCACCCCCATGTAAATGTTTGTAGATGGCACTGCAATGCCCCTTCACAAAGTCAACCACATCCTGTGCCTGGATTTTTGAACCAATCTTTTTTACCACAGCAGCGGCAGCCTTGTCGCCGACGAGTGGATTCCAGATGCCAAAGACACAGACCTCAGCCACGCCTGGCATCTGAGAAATGACTTCTTCGATTTCGTGTGGATAGTACATAATACTCTGGTACTTCAGCATATCCTTTTTCCTGTCCATTATATAGAGAAAGCCATCATCATCCATATAACCCAAGTCTCCAGAGTGAAACCACTTTTCCGAGTCACGCATATTGCGCGTCTCCTCCGGATTCCCATAATATCCGGCCCAATACTGTCCACTGTAGACACATATTTCTCCAACTTTGTTTGGTCCCAGTGTATTGCCCTGTTCATCAAGTATTTTCAGCTTATAGTCTTCCTCCAAACGGCCAACTGAATTTGGTTTCTTATCAAATTCACAGTTCACGGACACTATACTGCCCGCCTCCGTAAAACCATACATAAAGTACATACAATCGAACTGCAATCGGGTCCGTATGAGATGTTGCGCCTCCAAAGAGCACCGACAACCTCCGAAATTGTAGAAACGTATGCTATCAAAGTTAGCTTGCTCAAATTCCGGACAGTTTGAAATCATAGCCATATGAGAAGGCGCTTGCATCAACCACGTGACTTTGTATTCCTTAATGACACGCAACAAACGCGCTGGATCAAAGGGATTATCAGCTATAATGTGCTTAGTGCTGTAAACTCCCGAAGATACCGTCGTAGCAAGACATGTCAACCACTCTAGAGAACTGTGTGTGTACTGAACGTCGTCTGTGGTAAGAGATCTAACATTGATCGGACATTACTAAATTGAATATACATATACATTTTGTTAATTTACCTGCAGGCGATCAATATCTTGCGACTGTTTGATATGGTCACTGCCTTGGGAATACCCGTTGTCCCAGAAGAGCAGAGAATGGCCAAGGTTTGATCATTTCCCTGTTCCAACCGAGCAGGTTGAAAGTCCGTTTCTACAGGCGTAGCTAAGACTTCCTCAATGCTAATCGATCCACTCTGATGGTTACGCATCGTAATGATCTTCGCATTTAATTTCTCCGTAGCTGACTTTACTTTCTCGTAGTCTTCACCATCACAGAAAATCAGACGTGGCTTCGTTATGTCGAAGAGCTTCTCAATAGTTGATTGTTCATACGATGTATTTAACGAATGAAACGCAATACCATTAAAGAAACATCCATATACAACGGCGAAGATGTGCGTAGTATTTCTTCCTATAATTCCCACAATATCCGTTTGCACTAATCCCAAGGATCTCATATAGCTTGCCACATGCATTGAGTTCAAATGGAGCTCCTCTCGGGTTAATACAGTGTTCTCAGTGTCTGAGATCTGTTCAAGAATACAATTTGGTTAGTTATGTAATATAGACTAGGCACCTGTAGTGTACCTGAGCTATCAGTTTCGGATGACGTCACATCTCATGGAATATAATCTCGCCTATGGATAGATCAGGAGCAAAGTAATTACTGCTCTGCGGTCCACTCCAGATTCTGTACTCCGCATCGTAGGTGCTCTCAGGCTTATGGGGCATTATGAATGCGTCTCGTCTACTTCATAAATGAAACTGAATGAGGCATCGCTAATCTGGATGAATTTTATACTGGTTGCATGTCTGAGAAAATAAATGTACCCCTCCCCTCCCATTTGTAGTAATCATTTAATAGTAATATTTTTTTTTTACAATTTGGTCCACCCTAAATTTGTCGTTGTTGATTAGACGGCCGTTCACACGGAGAGATAGGCAGATAACCGAGAGAAGAGAACCACTCAGAGCGCAGCACGAAATCGCTCTCTCAAGAAGCGCTCAGCAAGAAGCTTAGCAATAAGCTCGATGCGGTCAAACGGCCAAGGTTATTGAAACAAAGAAGTCGTGTATGTTGCGAATCGACAATATAAGTTACAGGGCATTACAAATAGATATATTACTGTGAAAGTGCGGTGGATAATAAAAAGGTATGTGCTGAAACTGGTGAAAGAAAATATTCGAACCAATTTCAACCTTATAGGCCATTCTTGGGCAAAGAGTATGGACCAGACCTGCCACCAGTGAGCCAGCTGCACGCCTTCATAAGGTACACCGCGGGAGTGATTCACCCCGACGAGGTTGTAATTAGTCAACCTTACTTCATTGCATCGACATCAGAAGCGTCGCAGGCAGCGGGACGGAAGTGAGGAAGTGCGTTTAATCCAAGAGGACAACTTCATCCCACGGACCCCGACTTAGCGCATATTCGCTATATTGAAATCAAGTAATTCCGAATTAATATCAGCTAGTGCCAGATTACCTTAAAAGTTAAGCAAAGAAGACGTGAATGATCAGTCAGCGGTGTGGTGCACGCCTACTTACAAACACAAGCAATTTTTTTTGAGATAAGTGCTTATCAGCTTTTGTGCTTCGTAAAAGCGCGGATGAACAGGCCATAAAGTTTGAAAAGGTCACTTGCTAATAAAATTCAGCGTATTTAAACAAGCGCAACTCGTAATTGGCAAAATGCCCTAAATTACTTTGAATGTATCCAAATCATTAATAGTAAGAAATATAATTATTGAAGTTTTTTTTATTATTAATATGGTTGAATAATTTTATAGATATGTCATTGTAAAAAAAAAAAAAAAGAGAGTAATAGTAGGTGATACATTAAGATTTAACAATACACTGGCTGGTATTAAATCAAACGGATAGTCAAACTTAAATTATATATATATATGTATTTCCTAATGTTGTAAATAATTCTTTAAACAGCTTCATCTCTGCGTCGACGAACTTGGGCCCAACGATCGCATCGACTTCAAAATTTAAATAAACAAAAACATAGAGTGAGTAATGAAACAGCAACAATGTAGGTACATAAACAATTAGACATGTATGACCTACTTAGTAAATAAGGAAAACCATATACATATATATATAAAAATAAAAAAAAAAAAGGGCTGATCCGCAGCAAATACGCCAAGTGATACTTGTTATCTAAAAAAATGTATTCCATATATATATAAGCCCTAAATATAAGTAAAGCATTCGAAGGTTGAATTTGAGCATGAAGCTACATGGAAATGCTAAAGAAAAAAAAAATAGAATTTAAATTGAATAGTGATAATAATTAATTAAGAAAAAAAGAGAAAATGTACCCATAGATTATAACTCAATTATATAAGAGAAAATAGAATTAAGAGTAATGTCCACAACATACCAAATTAAGTTAAGAGAAAATACATGAATTTGCAAGCAATTTAAAATGACGAGTTAAGGAGTAGAATTCGTCTGTCGAGTATCCATGCTAGAGTTTTACAGAATGTGGTAGGATTTTAAGAGTCCGTCCAAGGGATAATGTATCCAAATTTATATCATCATCATGGTAGGGTGGGTAAAGAAGAGGGACAACTGTCATCAACGTTCCCTCTAATAGGACTAGTGTCTCGGTATAGTTATAGGACATAGTATGCATTCATATTCACTAATGTAAGTGTGACTCGTTAAGCTTTTAAATTACTTTTATCAATCGCGAATACATTGTTGAGTTAATCGCACTCGTTTTGCTATAATGTGATTAGGGAACATAAATATTACAATTGATACTTGATCTGTTAATTACAATGTAGCACAAAGTTACAAAGGAACATTGCTTCAGATATAATATTTTTAGTTTCCTCAATCATTTGAAAGTCCATTTCTATAGGCCTAGCTAACAATTCCTCAATGCTAATCGATCCACTCTGGTGGTTACGCATTGTAATGATCTTCGCATTTAATTTATCCGAAGCTGACTTTTTCACCATTACGGAAATTCGTTATATCCAAGAGTTTTTCAATTGTTTCCGGCTCGTACATGAAGTTGAGGGAGTGGAAAGCAATCCACAAGGCCACAGCTGATATATGCATAGTATTTCTTGCTATAATTCCCACAATATCCGAACGATTGATTAGATGAAAAGCTTGCACCTTTTTCCTGCCTACTCCAAATTCTGCGATTCGCATCATAGCTGTTCTCAGGTCTAAAACACAATCCGAATGCAATTAGGTATCTTTGAGGAATGGTTTGTGATCTAGTTTCATTTTATATCAGTAAATCGCGCGATAACTATATGTATATATACTCTATATAGACTATATGTATATACACAGTGCAATATACACATGTTCCTCGATGACTAATTTTTTTATAAGCTAAACGTGTAAGTTTTATGGTATGAAGCAACAAAAGATTTTGATTTACATATATTGCGTATTTTTTATAAAACCGTGTGATGTAATGAATGTAAACTTTACTTTGAACATAAGTAGAATTAAGACTACACATTATAAAAGTGTTATATTATTCAGAAAAACTCGAAATTGATGTACTCAAAAACATTTATAAGCTTATCAAGCCACAACTAGAAGAGCCGATTATATTAAAATTCACTTTTCTTTACTACACAAGTAGTTTATTTTATTATGTACACAGCTGTTTCGTTTCATTCATTGTAAATTCATTTATGTTTATGTTCATTTATGTTTATTTATAGCATTTATATATTTCAGTACGTAGTTAATCTGTTGAATTTGAATAGTTTTTGAATAATTTTCTGATTGGAAATACCCAGCATATTTTGTATATATGTTTTTATTGAACATACATAAAGCAAGTTTATTTGCAATTTTTCAGTAAAATATAGGATATTTTTTGATATTTACATTATTATATGCTTGCCAACAGCTGGGGACAGGGTGTTTTCTAGTCATACTATGAATCCGCTGCCTCGTTCTGTTCTTCCTTTAGATAAGCGGCCTTAACTGCCTTACGGTTCACTTTGCCATTGGCACTTTTGGCCAGTTGTTGCACGATCAATGCACCGCCATTAAGCTGCTTATAATTGACCCCAATCTTCTCAGCTACAAATTGCTCCACTTGTGCCGACTGGAGATGTGTGCCTGGCTTGGGCACCACTGAAGCAGCTGCTGCATCTCCTTCGGTTTCATTCCAAATGCCAAAGACGCAAACTTCGGCAACTTGGGACATTTGGGCGATGACCTCTTCGATCTCGTGCGGATAGTACATCATGCCCAGAAACTTGAGCATATCCTTTTTGCGCTCCACAATATGCAGATAGTTATCCTCATCGAAGTAGCCCAAATCACCGGTGTGAAACCAACCATCAGAGTCCTGCATCTCAGCTGTCGCCGTTGAGTTGCCACAGTAACCACTCCAATGCTGCCCATTGTGGCAATAGAGTTCGCCCATCTCATTCGGACCCACTGCGTCACCATTATCGTTTATCACACGCATGCGTATATTGGCCAAGAGACGCCCCACCGAGGTGGGTTTTGTGTGGGTGCTGTAGTTGCACGAGACACAGGTGCCTAGCTCCGTCATTCCATATGCATTCCGTAGGATTCCCTCAACACGTAAATGGGATTGCATCTTATGCAGCGTAGCAACCAGTGTGTGGCCGCCAGCAAATAGAAGATACCTCAGACTACGCAGCTCCTTGACGCTCACGTCCGGACAATTAGCCAGCATAGCAATGTGCGAGGCGGCCAAAACCGACCAGCTAATGCTCTGCTGCTCGCACAATTTTAAAAAATGAGCAGGACTGAAGATCTCTTTCGAGATGAGCCGCACAGTGCCGTACACTCCGGCCGTAATTAGTGTAATCAAACCCGTCAGCCAGTCCAGAGTACTGGGTGCATATTGAATGTCATCGGGGTTCAAATAGCTAGAGGGAAAATAGATGCCGAAATTGAAATACCCTTAAAAGTCAATGATAAAATGTTTGTGAAGTGAACAAATTTGTCTAAGCATTGTGTGGAATTGAATATAATTTTCGATATTGTAGAATCCTTGTTAAATAACAATAGAACAAAGATTATGGCAATTTAGAATTCAAATTTCTAGATACGTTAGATTTAAGTGCATAAATATAGTTTCAGTTCTTAAGCCACAAAGATTATCGATCCTCATACTGATCAAGATTTTATATATATAATATAGGATACTCATCGATGAATTATACATTTTATGTACAAAATTATAAAACCATCTGCTACTGTATAGAAGTAGCTCATGTCTTACCTATGATTCTCGAAAATCTTGCGGCTATTCGAAATGGTAACTGCCTTGGGCGTGCCTGTAGTGCCAGAGGAGCATAGTATTGCCATTGTTCGATCGATGCCACGTTGAAACCTAGTCGGTTCGTAATCATCTGGTAGAGTCGCTTGCAGAATCTCCTGAATGCTCAAGACACCAACAATGCGTCCATGAACAGTTATAATTGTAACGCCCAGATTTTCAGCAACTTTCCTCAGTTTCTCATAGTCCTGAGCATCGCAACAAATGAACATCGGCTTCGTTATGCTATAGAGATTTTGTATGGTGTGCTCCTCCAAATTGTGATTGACAGCGTGAAAGGGCGTTCCATTAAACAGACAGCCATAGGCCAAAGCTGCCAAATGTGTGGTATTCCTGGCCAAAATGCCAACTATATGCGTGTCCTCGCAGAATCCTTGCTTCCTTAGATAAACACTCACTTTCGCCGCATTTTTCAGCATCTGGAAACGGGTGAGTCTCGTATTTTCGCCTGGCGAAATCTGAAAGATGCGCTGCGGCTCGCTCTGCAATTGCCTGAATATTATTTGACCAATGGTCAGGTCGTCATTGTAGTAGTTCTGCTCATAGGCGCCCGACCAGATTTTCTGCTCAGCACTGTAACTTGTCGTTGGATTAGCGTTAAGATCAAGCATTCTGATGCAACTGTTCCTACTGTCCAGTAAATTAGTCGTATTTAAAGCTCAGAGAAATTAGTTCCCGTTGTCGGTTAACTGCAAAAACAGCTCAACATGCAACAAGTAAGAAGACACGCGATCATTCAACTGATTATCCCAATAATCGACCCCAAATTAGTCAGCAATTTAGCGCTTGAAGTGTCTGTAATATCGTATCGCTATTCTGCCCCTTTTACTATTTTAACATGCATTTCACGGCATTCTCGGTACAATATTGCAACTATATTAATATATTTAATTGATTTCAGAATCTAATACTTTTGTTTAAATGCGACTTAAAACTGCTTTCTGTTTGGTATTTAGCCTAGTATTTGGCTAAACAAAACGTAAAGTTTTATCTGTTAACTATGTAAAATCACAGTAATCTATGTTAAATACGGCTGGAAATATTATTCAAATTCATATCTTAATCCATAAAAATGCATCTGATATGAGCAGTAAGCAGTACGCTTACTGTCAATAGCTGTCTGCTACATGACTGATTGCAAATACTGCTTAGCAAGCAGTTATATATGCCGCGATGACTTTAAGCAAGCAGTTCGAAGCTATTAAGTACACCACCCTTTCTGTCAATTTTTGATGTTGTCTGCACTGTTATAAGGTGTTGGATATGAAACTTGCAGTTAGTAACATTTTGGGTAAATGTTAATGTGAACCATATGTCAAATTCCCCTCTTTAACATTTAAAGAAAGAACAAAATTTCGTACTACATGTATTGTAATCAATTTTCTTGGGAGTACAGAAATAAATTGATGTGTTTTGTCTAACAATTGATTTTTCGTACAACTGCACCTCTGCAACCAGCCAAGTTCCACTGCTAGATGGTAGATTAAACGAATGCCAACGGAACTCTAAAGAAAAAGAAAATGCATATAGACAAGTGGATCAATAAACAATTATTATGCTTTAATATTTAAGCTGAAGACGCCAAAGGGGAATTTTGTTAAATAATGAAAGAGAAAACAGTGTCGATAAATGTACATTTTAAATTTGGGTTTTTATTTAAACATGCCATGTTGTGTATTTTCTTTAGTTTTTTAGTTTTTGGTTTTTTTTTTTTTTTTGGTTTTGTTTTCATTTATAAACATTTCACAAACATTTCTTTATTCTGGGGGACTTACACTTTTGATTTTTGTTTCGGGTGATGGCAATACAACAATTATTTCAACTATTTTGTATAATTATTTGACTAATTTTTTACTTATGTATTAAAATTTCATCTTCATATTATTTGCCTGCCCCTTTGTTATTTTTGGGTTGTTGTTAGTTGGCGTTTGTTTTGGGTATGTTTCATTTTTGTTTCATTCGGTTGCACTACAGCAAATTGTTACTTTTAACGCATGATCTTAAATCTACAATGTATGGGTGATTTCATTTCGTTCTCTTTCATAATTTGATAGTTCTGTTTGCTGGTGTGTATGTGTGTCTGTGTCCACTTAGCTCTATAAAGTAAGGGGATTTGCGCTGTTCTTTTCTGATTTTCGATTTCAAATGATTCGTATTTACATTTACTATATGTTATGTGCGTTTGTTCTCTTCTTACAAATGATAACTGGAGTTTTACTTCTCTTTAATTTTCTTCTTGATTGTTAGAAATTGGTTTGGCATTATGGCGCCCGTTTTTGTTTGAAGATATGTGTTATGATCTTATAAATTTTTCTTTTATTATTTTCAATTTGTGCGAGTTCAATTTCTTTTGAGTATATATTTAGAGAGAGAGAGAGACAATATTATGGCTGAAACACGAAAGTGATGTTAAGAGAATTGAGTGAGCGAATTGAGTGTGAGAGTTGGTGTGTGTGTAAGTGTGTGATTGTGGTAGAGAATGCAAATGGGCTTGGGCGTTTTAGTAGTATTAGTTAATATTAGTAATGTTTTCGACTAGTCTATGTGCATATACTATGCGACATTGGATTTTTGTTGTTGTTCTGGCTTAAATTAACTACACATATGTTAACTTATGCACTACGTTTTGCTCGATAAATGTTAAATTTCTTGTCACTTCAAAACTTGTAAGTCTTTGTTGTTTGGAACGCATCTAGAAGTTGTGCACTTTGTTAAAACTAACTGTCTGACATTTACACATTATAATATATATCCAAACTATTTACATCAACAAATTGGACTGCCGCGTGGTAAAGAATGCTTCTTGATTTTTGTGGTTTTTTTTTGTTCTCTTTTTTTTTTTTTTTTTTTTTGTTTTTGCTTTGATTTGCCTAAATGATAATTGACCAAGTTGATGAACGGCAACTGAAGGCAGCACACAACCTATACCAAGTTTCGAGAGCCGAAACGTATTGATCTAGTATTAAGATACTGGTTACAAAACTGCGATATCTGGGCCAATTATTCCGATCGATATAGCGCACTCGGTTAGTTATGATGTCCTATTCTACGTCTTTGAGTTTTTCTTTACATTGAATCTTTTCTTGTTTTCTGTTCTCTTTTATTTGTTATAAATTTGTTTGTCAGTATTTGTCACGTAGATACGTAAACATCAACATTAATCAACACATATGAAACAACATACCCAACATTTGGCAGCTACGAGGCGTTCATCTGATCGCACGAACCCACTACTTATTTGCTCACATATAAAACCCTGTATGTTCAATAGCTATAGCTTCATATACAATACAATAGTTATCTTTTTCTTTTTTTTTTGCGCTCATATTTCTTGTACACATATTTATTAGTTAATTTTCGATTTTTTTTTTTTTGTTGGTGAATTTATTTGTTTCTTGCTTGGCACGAATTTTACAACATTTATTTTATTTCCTCTTGAGGGTTGCCTAATGATAATATTATAATTATATGTGGGTGCGTGTTATCTTTGATTTTGATTTATTTATTCTTCTTCTTACCTTCTTCTTTATAAAAAGTTTTTTTTTTGTAGTAACAAAAGCGAAATTATGATTTAAAGCATAACATTAGAAAATATTGTAATAAGAAAAAATGGCAATAAACAAGCTTAATAAAAATATTTTATAACTACAAAATATTGGTTGCGTTTAGTAAGATATAGACTATTTTTTTTAATAGTTTTTGGTTGTTGTTTTGCTATGTAGAATTCAGTTTTGAGCTAGACCGAAACTTAAGATCTTTAGTATTGGTGTTTCGTAATGTTTGTGCATATATATTAGTTAGGTTAGTTGGCCTTTAATTGGGGTTTAAATCAGCTAGTAAAACTTTAGCCACGGGGGAAGTGGGGCAGATAGCCGATTCCTGTTAACTGCAGGACTCACTCCTCATTCAAAAGGCACTTAATAAAAACAAAAACGAATATTTGTTGACCAAGCAGAAGGTAAGTGCCACGCCTTCAAGTAATTGAATGTCTTGGTTTCTATTTAAGATTCATTTGGTTTTTTAATTGGTTTTATTATTGGGGACTCAATTTATTTATTTATTTTTTGTTGCACTACGTGATAAACTATTTGTATTGTCTGTTAATTGGTTTATGGTTTACTGATAATCGTAATTATAAATATTAAACTACTTAAAGAAAATAACTAGCTAATGGAACTTAACATGAGAAGCACAATTAATAAATGTATTTATTTCATGAACTTAATTTATACTGTGTTCTCATGGGCTGCTCCTTATTATTAATTGAATCAAAATTTAATTCTATTTATAATTCTAACTAGATGAAAAATGATAAGGATTTATTGTTAGTCGCATTTATGAAGGATTTAGCAAAGTGCACTAAATCCACGTTTAAAAATGTTTCTAATAACTACATGGATTTGGTACTAATTGAAATCGAGTTCAAAAACAAGCAACTAAATTATTTGGAATTATTCTATTAGTTTAAGCATACTCGTATCACTAGGAATAAAAACTTGCAGTACCCACCAGTTCCAGTAAAAATGTAATTTTTTTTCATTGCGTATGCCAATCGAACATTTTGTAAATAAAATAAAAATAAAGAACTGTTAGCTTCGGAGCGCCGAAGTTTAACTACCCTTGCAGACATTATTTCAATAAAAAACATCGATTGTTACCGATTAAGATGATCAATGAGGTTTAAGTTCTTACGTGAATTTGATCAATACTTCTATGAAAATAAAAGTTTTTTCCAATCGCGGTTCAATTTTCGACAATTCTCATTTTGGATTCCATAGTCGAATTGACAACAGTACCAAATTTCATCAACATCAACTCCCAAAGAGCTGAGTTCGCATAAGTAAAAGACAGAAATATTTTTGATAATTTGAAAATAATTTCTGCAGGGTATTGTAAAAAAGATAGCTCGATTTGTTGCGTGCTGTATGTTTGTGTGTGTGTGTGTGCTTCAAATATAAATTCAATAAACAAAACATTGGATTATGTTCTGCATTGAGTTTTATTTTCTGTTTTTTTTAAATCGATTGCGAACATAATAATTAAATTTGCCTAGGATTTGCTAGTTGTTTTTCTTGTTCCTTAATTATGACTAAACTTAAAATTATCTACACCCATTTTTTGTTTTATATTTTGTTTGTTTAGAATTCGAATTGTATAAGCTAGTTGGCTTAAAACTTATTGACAATATGACAATATTTACAAACGTCGTGCGACTTTTTACAGCTAACTTATCGCATTTTAAGTACAAATTAATAGTAATTTGTTTGGAACTAATCTAGTATAAGTAGTATGAACAGAACGTATCTTGATTAAAGCCTAAAATAATTTATTTAATCAATAACAATTTTGAGCATTAAAAACAAATTCAAACAAACGAGCTGCAAGCGTTTTTCATATCGCCATCAAATCGCCATGTGAATTTTGTCTTTTTTTTTGTTTTAAATACAGCATTTGGAATATGATCTTAAATTTTCTTTTGTTTTATCTACTATGCAGTCATACTTGATCAATTTAACTTATAGTTAGTATATATCTTTTGCTTTAATCGAATTTCTTATTGTGGAAATGCCGCGATGCCTTGTCTCGCCCCAAATGATCAAGCAAAGCATATGCATACATACTCGTACATACATACGTATCTGCATGCATATATATTTTGTTAATTTCATGTTGGATTCTACATAGCCTTTGGTTATCAGAGTCGCGGACGCGCTTTAGAAGGTCCTTTTTTATAGTTGTAATCAAATGAATCAAATTGAAATCATAGATGCAAAAATCAAGCCATACGCAACACAAATTGGAACGTAAGGTAGTAAATGAAAGTAGAAATTAAGAGAGAGAATAGGTTAGTACAATCTTTGGTATTGTTGTGCCAGCACTTGTAATTATATAAAGAATTTTTATTTTGTAAATTGGTAACGGCATTTACTCATCCTCCTCCTCCCTGAAGAGATATGTGCTCCAGTAGACCAGATTGAAGAGCGCAAAGACCAGTGGGAATGTAATGCGCGATATAACATCGATTCTCTTCGATCTAGAACATTGTCTTGGATAAATATTCAACAAGTACGAAACACATTAATTGATCATCTAGAGATTGGCTTTTTGATTTGTGATTGTTTTTTCTTTAGTTTTTGTTTTTTCTGTGTGGCTTTTTAAAATTTTCATTTTCTTTTTTATAGCAATAATTTGTTTGTTTTAAATATCAAATAAAAAAAAATAAAGAAAAAGAAAAGTGATCTACGTGCGTGAAACTCATAATTGTGTCATTAAAGGAGATAAAATCTACAAACAACCAAAGAAATAAAAGGCGAGTGGCAAACTACCAGATGACACGGACTTGGGATGCGGCTTGGTACTGAGGAATGAGAATTTTCCAAAGTCTACAACAAAAATGTTGTTTAAAACAAACAAATCAATAGAAAGAAAAGCACACAAAAACCTTTGATTTGAAAATTTAGCAAATAACACTGTTCAACAAATTTTATAATACACTTTCATTGGGAAATGAAAAATATAACAAACCAATTTAGATGAAAGCTTAGCATTTAAAAAAAAATTATTTTTATGTTTTAAAAAATTGACAAAAAAATATTAAACAATTTATTTTACAAAATTTTTTGCACAGTGTAATCACCATAAGGCATTAAGCAAATTATATTTTCTCGTTTACTTGACTCTGGTCTCTGGGGCCAGATGGAAATCATTTGGCAGCAAGCATTGAAACAAAAGACAGCGAGCAAAAACGATGGCAAGCAGCAAAGCAGAATCGGGTTTTCTTTAATGTAAGTACGAGATTCAATTTCAGGATTTAATTCAATTACAGTTAATTAGTGGCATAAAAAGTCAATAAAATCTTTTGATATATATAGAGACAGAGAGAGAGAAATGTAGATAGTACATATTCACAACATCAAAAAGGAAATCCATCAACTACTACAATATAATAAATTGAACTATATAGCAGAACAATGTGTCTGACGAGCGTTACCTTGTGGGGAACTTGGACAGCCAAGTCTTACAGCAGCTGGGACGCTTCGGTGGCTGCATGTGCACCTCACACTGCCGGAGCTTCTCCAGCGCCAGCGGATCACCTGGATGACGCACCAGCGGTTTCTGCAGGCCGCCACCACGTGAATATTGCGATGCCGTTTGACATGCAATTTTGATTGTAGTTAATGCAATGAGGGGGCGATTGCGATTGCGATGACGATGGCGATGGCGATAGCGATGGCGATGACGATGGTGAATGTCGTATGGTGAATGGGATGTGCGTAATTTCATTTAATTTTCGATGCAATTTTTCATTTAAATCCGTTTCAGTTGGTTTGGGCCAATTGAATGCCACGCAGCGATTTTGGTTGATGAGGTTTTTGTTTTTTGTTTTTTTTTTTTATTTGGTTTCGAGTTTGAGGTTAAGTTGAATGTTGAATGTGTTTGAGATTGAGTTGGTTGTATTTATATGTGAATGTGTGGTGGTTTGATTTGATTCGCATGAGCACGTTTGAAAAAAAGTTGTAAAATTTTTGTGTTTGTTTTTGTTTGGTGTGTGTGGGTATTTATTTTTTGGGTGGGTGTTAATTTATTGTTTGTGTGTGTGTGTGTGTGCGTGTGGTTTTTAATAAAAAGAGGCAAATATAAAAGGAAATAGTTGTTTTAATAGTTTTATCATCAACATTTTGCAAATAGCCAATTTGAGTTGGTTATGCTCTTGTTTTTAAACAGAAAGCTGATAAAGTTTCATTTGTTTTTAAGCTAAATAGTTTGATGTGGCTTAAGTTTGGCAGTGGGTCCTAAATGTTCAGCACATGATTCAAATGAATTTTTCAACTACTTTTTCTATATTGTTTTTTTTTTATATTTCAACTTACTGACATTTTTAGCTAAACTAATAAAAATATTCTCCTGGTATTAATCAAATATAATGTCTATCACTTGTTCTATATTTACCATGAAAGTTTCTCAATGTTCCCTCAAGTCATATATCTAGTGGAATATTACCTAATCATGTCATAATTGAGTACGGACCAGCTACTAACATATTGTTGAGCCAATTGACGCCTATGTAAATCAGAGAATTGCAACCGATAGAAATTAGAAACTTTTCTTTTAGCTGGATAAAATAGCATGAATTTAATATCTGTATATATTTTTGACATTTTTTCTGTTTTAATTATCCAGTTATCCAAGTTCCTAATCTATGCTTCCCCCATTCCACATATATGGATATGTGTACATGTAAAAGAATAAAATAAAATCTAAGCTTTTCTGTCCCCCCTAAGTTTTTTGGTTAATGGAAGAGTTAGATAATTAAGAGGTAAGTACCATTGCGAATGTTGCATTGCTATCTGTATCAAGCAGATCTGAAGCGGCATCTAAACTGGCCTGCTCCAAATCGCGACGTTTCTTTTTCATATTCTCCTTATGCATGTCTGCGGCCCGATCCGTATATTGTTTGCATGTGGTAGAAGATGTTCAACAAGAATTTATGTGTTCCACAAATTTTGGATAGTTCGAATTGTTTGATAGACATTTTGATTTTTGTTTTTTGTTGTTGTTTTTTTTTTGCGTAATTTACAGTTGAGTTTAACATATATTTATATATTTTTTTTGTTTCGGAATTTAGTTTAGATGCATAGCACACATTTATACAGTTATACAGTTAGATAGCGACAGAGACAGCGAGTGAGAGAAAGAAAGAGAGACAGATAGAGATAGATAGTCACACATACAGAAACATTAAACAATTTGAAGTGTATTCAAATTAAAAATGTATAATCGAGTGCAAGTTTGTTGAGAAAAAAGAGAGGAAAATACAAATTATAATTGTTAAAAGCACAAAATAATTGAGTTTTTAGTTTCAGTTTGAATTTGGTTTTTAATATGTACAAGCAAAGACAACAGCAGAAAAAATATGTAAAAATAAATAAATATACCAAATTTATCAAATGTTTTAATTACGTTTGTGTCGAATATTCAAATAAAATGTAGTCCAATTCAGTGTTTTTTTTTTTCAAACGCGTTTGATTGTGTTTGAGTTTATGTGGGTGTGTGTGATTGATGAGAGGGAGAGAGAGAGAGAGAGAGAGAGAGTGTGTGTATGTGTGTGTGTGTGTGTGTATGGGCGCACAATGAAATAAGAGAGTTAATCAAAACAATTGGATTAGTAAAAATATACACGCACAAATCATCTCGTCATTACAATATTCATGTGAATGAAATTAAAATAAAAGTAAAATTAATTTTTATATTTATATATATATATATCGAATGGAAAATAAATGGTAACTACAGCGAAAATCGTTGGCTTTTATCGTTATCTTGTATTACAAAAATTAGTTTGTTATTGTTGTTGTAGCTGTTGACCAAAAATCAGTTTGCTTATAGCCCAAAATAGTGTGCCTCGCCGACGTGTAGATGTGAACTTCAACTGAAGCAGTGTCTGTTTGTAGATAGGTGTATGTGTGTAGTTTGTGTGAGTGTGTGTGCGACAGTCCAATTAAGTTAGTATCTTAGATAAATGCAAGTGATGTTTTGTCGTTGTTTGAGGTATATACACATTATATACATTACATTTAGTACTTGTATACGTTCGTTGTTATCGACAAAAATAATGATTAAAAAACAACAGTAAAAATAGATAAACACCATCGATTAATACATTAATATAAGTTTGTTAAGAAGCATATCAAATCTCAATTACTAGCTTTATTCAAACCTGAGCGGGAGGCATAGTTCACCAGGGCAAATTCAAGCAATGCCCCAAAGACAAACGTCAAACAGACGCCGGTCCAAACATCGATTGCCTTTGTATAGGAAACGGGCGGCAGTGAGGCATTAATGCCCGATGTTTGGGTGGCCATCGTTAGCAGTGTGGTAACACCTAAAAGAAACCAGTGGATAATGCAATAAATAAATCAAATAAATATTGACAGCCTTGGAATCGATCGGTTGATTATATAATAAAAACCAAAGTTAAATATGAAATATTTAATATGTTCAATATACGTTGTTAATTTACCAGCAGTCTACAGTTGCTTTTTGGTTTTGTTTTTGATTTATTTTTTTAAGCTTAAGCTGTTAGTTTCAGTTGGACACTTACCTAACGATACACGCGCTGGCACTGCGCCTTGATCCAGCCAGAATGATACCCATGAGACAATGACCAACATACAGCATGGTATATAAATTTGTATTAAGTAATATGAGAATTCTCGCTTGAATAGTAGATCGACTTTGAGGCAACTGTATTCACCTATGAGTATACAAGGTATATAAACTGTGTCAAACTCAAAAAGTACGGGATAAAATGTACACGAAAAAAGGCGTTTTTTTTTTTCAATTTCATTTTTCACACACACACACATTTATATATATAGAGTTGATCGATTTAAAAAAATGAGTTTAGACACTGAAATTACACACAGACACACAAATTTCCAATATTATAATATATTTATCAAAAATGAATTTGTCATCCAATAAACAAGAAATAAAAATGAAATTTGACTTGGTTTTAAAAAATTTTGCCACATTTATTTTTCATGTTTTTTGTTATTTTTTTTGTTGAGTTTATGTACAGGAAAGTGGTGGGCTTGAAAAATAAATAATATTATGCACTGGGCGGGGCGGGGTACACTTGGGTGTGGCAGACAAAATGTATTTACAAAACACAAAATAAAAAAAAAGGACACACATAGAATGAGAGACAGTTAGAGAGACAGAGAGAGAGAGTTGGGAAATTATAATATGGCATAATAGGCAAAATGTATTTCGACATCAATTCAATTTTCTGACATTTGCAACAAAATTCTTAACGGAAATGAAGTTCATTGGGCGCAGAGACTTGGGGCTGTTGTAGTGGTTGCTGTTATCGTTGATCCTGGTTATTTGCCTCCGCTGTGAGCACGCCCCACATGGTTGTCCACGCCCACCGCTGCTTGTTGCAGCCCTTCATTTCCGTTAATTTTTTGGCAGTGCGTTCCATACTCTTCAAGACAAAGCTGTTTATTATTTTACATTCTCATATTCATATTCATTTTCATATATGTATATATATATATTCATTTATTTTGCTCATTAAAAATTGCTCTGCGCTTTTCTCATGTTTGCATTTTCGAGTGCTGCGTGTGTGTGGTTTATTTGCTTGGCTCTCTGGGACTGGTTACTGGTTACTGGTTACTGGTTACTGGGTAGTACAAATATCGCATTCGCATCTGGCATATGGCTTGGATGTATGTATTTGCTCGGTGTGCACTCAATCAAAGCGATGCGTTTGCATACCACATTTGTATCTGAGTTTTCTGTATTTACTCTGACCAGTTTTATCCATTTCAACGCTCAAAGAAGATATAAAATTAATAAACTTTATGTGAGCAACTAAGTTCAAGCCGAACTAAATGCAACAACTACGCAACGACTAAAAGGGGATTGTTAAAATAATGCAGTATAGTTAAAAGGAATTATTAAGGTTTTAAAGAATATCGGAGGATGCTAGTAAATGAGTTTGAAGCTCATGCGACTCTTAAATGCGGGTATGAGCAAAGCAAATGGGTTGAATGAATGATATCGAGAACCACTGCTTGGTAACTATCTATTAAAAGAGTGTAATCCTCATCATTGTGCAAGGTTCTGATGAATTGATTGGCTTGGTGAGGGATTCTCTAAAAGTTAGTCCATGAGTTTAATTCGCAAGTAATAGGATCTGTTAACGAATATTTATATTCTAAGCACTAAAACCAACCATAAATTTTCTTACTATATAAAAATCGTCTAAATCCAAAATATGTTTGTGACTTTGTATATTGCTGTTTAAATTTTTGGAAATATTTGTTAATATCGGATTTCTAACTGCATCGCTTAATTATAATATACATCAATTTAATTTTGCTTATCAATTTTTTAGAAAAGTTTAAATTAATATTTGAGTTTAGATTTGAGAAGTTTAACGCATATAATTTAAACTATATCTTCTTTTATAAATATCTACATTATTCGCTCGAGTCTGTTTTGGTTATTAAAATTGTTTTTGAAAAGGTCAAAAAGGTTGTTCGCATGCACAACACTGATAGCGCTTCAGTTGGGTATCCTTGGTTATTCTGCTTTAGGTACCGAGGTGCAGCATGCGCAACTCCCATGAAATGCTCTGCTGAAAATCTAAATGCCAAAGCGCGAATCGGTTGCATCTTCCACATATAAATTGTACACCTAAAGATGCTGACAGACAATTTGCCAAGCTTGTGAGAAACTTTTTCTTATTTGTTTGCCACAGCTTGGGCGCCCGCTTAACTTCATAGATACAGACACACGAATGCACACATAGATCATCATCAATAGATGACGGTGGTTGTGGGGGCGGGGAGTGGGGAGACGGGAGACGGGAGGCGAGTGGGTGGAGGAATATGCTCTTTGTGCAAGTTTTAGCAACTGCGTCGCAAACAATTTCCTCGATTAATTTACTTTCCGTGCCGTGCCTTTTGCCATTTTCTTTCATTTTCATTTTTCCGTTTGGCATTTGCCTGTCGCAGATACGAGAGTAGTTTTCTTACTAGCCAAGGTAAACATTTGCTTAAAGCGCGAACTGATTTCCAAGTGCTCATAAAAACTCGTCTGAGGTAAGCGACACAAGAGCTGCCGAAAAACTGCACTAAAAATGGGCGAGTGGGCGTGGCTGGTGGTATGTGTTGTGAGTGTGTGTGAATTACATCGTAAAAACTTGGGTTTTATGCGATTCGGGCATTGATAACGGCCCAACGAGATGCTCATGTGTAAACGGCATCATTACAAGTTTATATGTCTTTGTTTGATGGTGAGTGTGTGTGTGTGTGTGCGTGTGTGTGTGTGTGTGTGTGTGTGTGCGTGTGTGTGTGTGTGTGTGCGTGTGTGTGTGTTTGCGTTTGCCATGAAGCGCTTATGATGCCGTTTATAATATACATACGAGCCAGCAACAATATTGAAAATAAACACAATAAATATTTATAAAAAGTTTATTGTTTTTGGATGCAGCGTCTTAATTCAGTTGGAAAATGTTGAAGAAATTCACATATGTAGTCTTAGTTCTAAATGAAAACAAGCAACGGTAACAGAGGAAGAAATTAACAACTAAATAACAACTAAAACTACAAGTAAATAAGATATTATTTATGTATATAGTTATTTAATGTAAAAAAAATGCAAAATTATTGAATAATATACATAACTCTCCAACACAATCAACACAACTGTAGAACACACACAAAAAAACATACCCGTGTTGGTTTTACTGTTACAGTAATCAGTCAAAAACTTCTCCAATGTGAAGCGAGGTAGGTGTAAATTCTTTACCACTTGCACTGGATCGCCTTCCTTCCAAAGGAATACCAAATCGTTTGTGGTCCAGCCGTCTATTAGCAAGAAATAATATTAGTGAGGGACATAGATGTATGCAGATCGAGAGTATCGTTCTGTATTTATATAAATTTGGAAATAATATGCCAGATTAGAATTTAACTTACAGCTAGCCATGCGCAGTGAGCAAATTTGTCTATCCAATGGATACAGTTTGAGATTCATTGGGCAGGCCAATGTTAATGAGATACGTATACTATAGAGCACGGAACCATTCGGAAATATGCGTATATACACATTGGGCATAATGATATTGTGAAAATGTCCCTCCTTTTCGTTTGAAAAGAACAAATCCGGCATCCAAACACGATTTGCCTCCGTCAGTGTGAGATACTTTAAGCGGCCTTTAACAATAGATTGTTGGATAGTTAAAACGATTAATTGCTGTGGATCGTATGATTACTCACCCTGTATATCATCGAATTTGAGACGCTCATCCGTCCACTGTTCTCGGAAGGTCAGCTGTACACTGTACTCCTGTGTTGCGTTGAAGTTTGGAGCAAATGTTTAGGATGAAGAAAAACTTTATTAGCACACTGAAATGAATCACTTGTAAATGCTCAATTTCAATTTCAATTTCAAATTCAATGCAATTCAATTTGAACTGCAAGGCAAATTTCTTTCTTGTGTTTAAATTTTTATGGGAATTTCTTGAGTAATATATTTTTTTTTTTGGTGTTTGGTGGTGGTGGGGGCTTTTCAATTTGGTTGGCTTGCAAATTGATTTTGCGAGGGGCTTTAGCTTTACTTTTAAACAATTTGTATTTTGAATTTTGTTGTAAGTAAATTGTATGAGAGAGCGAGCAAGGCGTGGCGAGGCGTGGCGAACGTTTATAAATTTTTTTTCGAGTAGTTTGTTTATATTTGTTAGTTAGTAAGTAAGTATATATGGTGGCTATATAATTAAAACTGTTGGATATTTGGCGGATAGTTTAAAGCGCTATGCTTCATAGGTTATTTGCAAGTTCTCGGCATTATAATGGTATAAATTGTATGTAAGTATTCATGTCAGTTAACTAAGTATATCTTATAAAATTCGAACCAAAATGCAATACAAAATGCGCTCCGACGCTGAGCATGCAACAATAACCACATTCAACATGACCATTATTATCCAATGCATTGTCCAATATAGCAACGTGTTGCATACTAAATACTAAATGAGGGTAAAAAGCAGAAAAAAATCTGTTTGAAACGTGCCAAAAATGCATAAGAAAAAGGCAATTCTCAAAATGAAGTAGAGAGAAAACGACACAGGCAAGAGCAAAAGGCAAAAAGGCAAAATGGCAACACAAAGCAAGCAGAGAAAGCAAAGCAAGGTAATTTGATTAAGGAGCAGGCTTATATTGTAACTAGGATTATACTTAGACATTCTTTAAGATATATGTAAATATTCTTAAAAATACTTAATAATGCAAGTCTTTTAAAAACATATATTAAGTAACTTTTCAAATTATACATGTATGACTGTTAAAAATCCATCTATAATATTCGAATTTAAAATCTATTTGCCTTAAAAGTTGACCTGATCCTTAAACCATATTTTTAAATGGAAAATATCTTTCTTATTAAGTTCCTGAAAATAACGAAGCTCAGTAGGCAGCCTAATATCTTAAAAATAAAAATAATTTTCTCCGCAATTTAAATTAAGAGAAAAAATAACTAATTGGAGAAAAAAAGACAGAAAACTAAAATAGAACAAATATTAAGCGGCTTATCGTTGGATCGAAATGAAACAAATACTATTTTTATTGATTAATTCCTTGAATATTAATATAAGCCGATTGAACATTTTACCAACAATATCAGTATTTCCATAAGCGACTGTTCACTATAAGATCTAGTGATCTCTTTTCATGAAGATAGAGATTTCCTTACAGCGAATTGAATATTATGACGGCTTGAGATTTAAGATTCCTTCAATTGTACAAAAGCGTTTTGATTGCCTCAAACTTTTAAGCTAAGCGAGATTGTTAGTTTGGGCCCAATTATAAAAATATATACGCTAAATACCCCACATTTTGCATGCTATTACAACAATTATATATATTCATGCTATATACCATATATATCAAATGATAATCGGGGTTTTTATGAACCATTCAACGGAAGGAAAAAATTAAATGGGAGCAATAAATTTAAATTCATTTATAAAATCCTATTAGCTGTCCATAATGAACTGGGCAACTATTTGTATCTTATTTATGGCGGCAATGTTTTATTTTAGTTATATATTTTTTAATCCTTTTAAGTATTGGATAAAAATCAGTAATTTCCAAATAGCTGTTGTAAACATTTTAAGCAAGAACAAATAAATCTCAATAATTATAACAAATAATAATTCTTTTTTTATGGCGTGTATACGTATTTTTTTTTTTCAAATGAGTCTGTGGCTCCAATTAATAAATAGTTGCCAGTTTTTTGCTTGATATTTTTTTGTGTCAGCTGTCAGAGATATTGGTTTTTTCAGAGGCCATTATTTGTTTTTCTAAATTTATTTTCACCGGAAACTGGACTAACAAGCTTAGAGCCATTGACCAAACGTTTCTATTGGATAAAATTGATGTTAACTCTTGTTTTTTGCTTTGTACTTACAGTTATACATTGCTTTTATTTATAAATATTTGTTCCCGTTGTGTTTCTGTGGCATGTGTAGTAAGCACTTCTTTCTTTATTCTTTATTGCCTATTGAGAATATATGTTTGTACTCTTGCTTAGCAGAAGGCATACGAAAAGAATAACATTAAAAATCGGTGAAGTTTTCGGTTATTGTTAATGAGCAGATGCCGGTGAACTTGAATGGATGATCTTGTGGTTTGGTGATCTTTCCTTTTACGTTCTTTAGACTAAACTAACGTAGTTATTATTAGCTAGTTACAAAATGATATACACTATAAGAACTTACAGACTTAAAATATTAAACTAGCTTACGAGCTATGTAAAATTTGCACTTGTCGTGTTGTGAAAGCGCTGCCTGCAGAAACTGCCTTTGCTTTGTGACATAAAAATATATATAACATCAGTTTTTGAAACATTTATTACACAGGAGAAAAGTGAATAAAAATATAAAAATCAATTTGTAGTTAATAAGGGTACACTGGAGAATATACATAGATATATTGCATAGGTGGAAAAAATTAATATATATATCTTTTGACATAAATGTCTTGCAAGTGTTGAATAAATTTACATTTTATTTGCTGGAAAATGAATTGGGATTTTTACTTAGCACTTGCAAGACACATGGTAAAGTTTTGTAAAATAAAAAATTTTTTTAAATTTACAGCCAATTATTTTAAATTATTATTTGAATTTATTGTGTTTTAATTTTATTCGTTTAATACTTTTAAACATATTTGATATACCATATAGATACATACAGTTGACTTATGAATTTCACATAGTTTTAAGTAGTATTGAATAAGCGAAGCTTTTGTGTTAATTTTGTTTGATATTATACACACAAATACAATCACATATACACGCACACACCCACAAAAATAAAAGTTAATTTAATTTTACGAGTATTTTGTAGTATTGAGAGCAAAATTTTAAAGCGCTTGGGATTGTACTTGTTGTATTCATTTACATATATTCATATTCAGTTTCGTATTTTAATTCATATTTATTTACTGCCTTGGAGCCTGAACTCACCATTTTATAATCGTCGATTTTCGATATGGAGCGCAGAAACATGTTGACCTGGACTAATGTAGCCAAATTCGCTAAAAAACGATTATATCAAAGTCGAGCAGCATTTGCTCTATGAGTTATCATTTTCAGTTTGTGGGCATGGAGAACAATTTATACTTATAATACATATGCATATGTAAAGCTTACCCTATACATAATTTTAGCTTAAAACTGTATTTCTTTCAGTTGTTATTTAATGAATTTTCATGTGTGCACGAAATGTATGTCAGAAATAAAATCAAACACGAACTAAATTGCAAACAATAAAATTCATAAAATTACTTTTTCAAATTGATACAGAAAAATGTCTGCATGGATCTCATTGAAGTATGAAGTAAACGCTTTTTTTTAACAATTTATTGCTTCAATTGTTTTTCTGATTGGTTGCATATTTTGTTATACTTTTGCGTTGGGATTAAACATTTAGTGAAGCTTTGAAAAATATCCCTATTATGTAATTTGTATTCTTTATATCCGTTGAAATAAACTGAAAAATATTGAGTTTTTATGACAACCATAGAGGACAGGTTTGGCCATATAAAAAAATTTTTGCGTACAATTAAATTAATCTTCCTGCAGGGGTATTAAATCTTCCACAGCCAGAAGTTACTAGTATTTCTTTTTTACAGTCTTAATTAAAATATATATTAATATATATTGCCAAATGAATATTACATAAACACATTTTCAATCAGCGCCTGAATGCATTTAGCAATATATTTTTGCTGCATTTATTTAATGTGTATAAAATAAATGGTATATATTACCACATGTCATGAAACTCAATATTTAATAAACAATATAAAAGTTGATGATTATTTGTGGGCTGAAACTGAAATTTTGAAAGTTTGGGCAAAAGAAGTTGATGGTTTTGGGTTTGTGAGGGGTGGGTGGGGGTTGAGGGTGTACATAACCAACCAACACACGTACAAAGCACACAAAAAAAAATAAGTAACACGTTCTGTTCACATTGCTGCATTTTTGTAGATAATTAGGGTTAGATATTAAGTATATGTAGATTAGCAATTATGAAATGAAAACGTAAAAGCAAATCAGTTTAGGAACTTATATAATTATATTCAAAATATGTATTCAAATGAGTTTTGCATATTACGGGAAATACACACGACAGCAGTAAGGCCAGCACAATATAACTGTCATCTGGCAGTCATCATCACAATTAGTAATAATTTAATATGAGATAATAAGTTAATTTATGTTGGCATAATTAACATTGAGAGAAATTCGTAATTGATAATTGTTTAGAGCGAATTATAATTATAATAGAGAGATAGAGAGACAGGTTGATTGTTACAGATAAAGATTTACATATATTTATAGAGAGAGACAGAGAGAGAGAGAGAGAGAGAGATAGCGAGTTGAAAATTATACTAGATTTATATGTTTAGTTTGGTCAAAATAATGAGCTTTAGACAGAGCGAGAAATAGAGAGTGAGTGAGTAAGATAGACAGAGTGTTGCATATATATGGGAAGGAGAGATCCAAAAAGACATTTTCTTTATGTTTTGTTCATTTCGTACTACAAAACAAGTTTAATATTTTACATTTTTGTTGTCCAAACGTAAACATTAAAAAATGAAAAGAAAATAACAATTACAAATTACAAATTCAAATTTCAAATAAAAATATATGTATATATGAAAATATGCAAAGTCTAATTAGATTACTAAATTGTTAGTGTGCTTAGCCAATTACTTTAAAGCTAAGAAATTATTGTTCAAATGTTGCAACGAACAACAACTTCTTAAAATTACCAATTTTAATAGTTTAATTTTGATTAATTTTGCTAAAGAAATAAATGCAAATTATGCGATTGTAATAATGATATAGAAATAATAAAACATCGATAGGTAAACAATTAAATGTTCATATTAAATACCAATATCCGATATAGTTAGTTGGATATGTATATAGCATAGTAATCATTATAATTCATATATGGTAGATGTGTTTTTTTGTTGGTCAACGCCTGCTCACAGATTAGACATAAAACTGACGGCAGTTACTCAAGATGCGCGCACTCTACAAATGTATATATATCTGTATATATATATGTGAAACAACCTGAGATACAACACGGATAGTAAAAGAGGGAGAGAGAGAGAGAGAGAGACAGAGAGGGAGACAAAGACGGAGAGAGTTAGACAGAGTGAGGGGCAGGGCACGGCTATTTGGCAGTTCATTGGCACGCATGTGGCTCAAATTGCTTGGCCAACACACACTCACACACACACCTAGATAGATATTTATATATACTTGAATTTTTTATGGACAAGGTCTGAGAGTCTGTGCTTTTTATCTATATGGTATTTCTTTTATATATTTTTGGTTTCTGATTTTTTTGTTTTTAGTTTTTTCTAACGCGCACTTACCATGGTTACATCATCGATTTTTGATATACTTCTAACGAATATGTTGACGCGCACAACAGCGGGACCATCTGGAGGGATGATACATATAGATAGACCGTTTTGTACAATGGTAATAACAAAATTTAACAACTGGTCACACTAACAACCGGGCAGCTCGCCACTGCTGCTGAGTTTGCACTAAAAACTTAGCATATAAAATATTTTAAATGACCAATGAACTTTGATACCCGCCTGGCACTCTTATTATCTGGCTGGTCATTTCGCCTTATGCCTTATGTGTTTTGCTTCTGCTGTAATAAAGTTTTATTTTTATGTCTATGGCCTGCTTACATTAAGTTGTGGCATTACTCTGCTGCCACTTAAATTTCTTAAAAAACTAAGCTAGGATTTGCCGATATATTTATATACATAAGAAGTCCTATGTTAATCTAGAGTATATTTCTTAAATGCATGAGGTTTGTATGAGTTAATATGTGGCTTTAAAATGTATTGAACAAAAAACAAAACAACAAATAATATATAATAATTGTAGAGTATGCTAAAATAATGGCTAGTTAGTATGTTGGTTATTTGTACTAATTGCTGGACACATAATTATTGTTTATATTTCGCCAATATTATTGACTTTTACAAATGACTATTCTGTGGCCCGCTGCTTTATATGTATGTGCATATGGATGATACTTCTGAATTTTTAATGATGTCATTGTTTCGTATAAAGTCAACATGACAGCAGCAGAAGCACACACACACACTCACACATACACACACACAAATGAACTGTAAATTAAATTCAAACTTTATTTTAATCAAAATAGAAATAAAATGATGTTGGCTCAACGTATCTAAGTGGGTGGGAATTCAAACACACACATTAAACTGTTTTTTTTTTTAGTAAATCCCAAAATACATTTAAAATACATATTTAAATTGATGACCAAAAGGTGTGAGAGAGTAAAACTTGAAATTCACATGAAATATTTAAAAGAAGCTTTATTTTTCACTTTTTATTGGAAATTATTTGTTGTCACAATTATTAATGTAATTTGTGGAGCGTTGTTGTTCTGTACTCGTATGTAAATATTGTGTTCATTAATTAATTATTTTACTTTTTTATATAAATTATTGATACGCTGCAAACATTTTTTTTGTATTCAACAAAAAATTCTTGTGATTTTTTCTGCACAACATTCTTTCACCAGAGAAATTATGCGAAAATAATAGAGGTGCCCAAGAGAGGGAAGCGCTTAGCAGATAGTTAGGAAAGATTTTACTTAGGAGGAGAATTGTCGTTATTTTTTAATATTTTAATTTAAACAATGGTGTAAAACTATTTTTTCAGAGACTAACGCACGATTCGCCTATATTCAATGAATACTGCGCTTTTCCATAAGTCTCGCGTGGGAGTCTGAGAAGTGATTTCAATGTACTTTTGTATTTTAAACTGTAATATTATCTACTTGGAGCTAAGAGGCTCCTAAAAATGTTTGCAGGGTACTCACTTATTTATAGATGTTTAGTTGTGCGTGTAAAGCCAGAAAATAGTAGTAAATGTATAGTTTGTGGTTCCCTTAGAAGTAGGCAACAGTCTTATGTGTGAAATTTGGTTGAAATTGATGACTTATCGATTTGTCGAAACAGCTGCTTAAGTCGGGGGTATTTTTAGCATTCAATGTTGTTGTGGGTGTGTTTGTGTGTGTATGTTGGGATAAGTGTTAATGCGTTTGTATGGTAGATCCAACAGAAAGGAGAGAACTTAAACACAAATACTGCTAGCTATAACTGTGAGTAGTAGTAATAGTAGTTGTAGTAGTAGTAGTAGTAGTAGATATATGATTATGTAAGTAAGTAAGCATATAAGTATAACTGCTTCCTCTATGTAGCATAAGTAACAATGATTGCTTGGAGTCACTGTATCCAAGGCAAAAACAAACAAAACAGGAACAGAAATAAACGAAAAAGAGGGGAATGCAAGGAACGTTGTCTCTAAAAATTTGCGTGAAACCAAAACTGAAAGATAATATACATATATAGATGTATGCACCCAAGAGTATACAAATACATGTGCCATAAAAGTGGCATTGCTTTCAAATAACGAAGAGCAACACGAAACAAACGCAAAGAACGCAAATTTCAATAGCCAAAGAACAGCAACAAGGTGAGATAGATAGATGGGGTTAACCAGAGAGAGTGGGAGATGGGACGTTAAGGTAGAAAGATTGTGTGTGTATGTGGCTAATAGGAGCGAGGGAGATAGGCAGATAGAGAGACAGAGAGAGCGAAAAAGATAGAAAGTTAGAAAAACCAACTTCAACGCAAAAACAAACAAAGTGTAAAATTGTATTTGTTTCTTTTATTTTTGGTAGTTAATGCATAGTATAGTATAGTATAGTATAGTGGAGTATATTTGTGTGTGTGTGTAGGAACGCTTGTATGTAGTATCTATATATGTGTGAGCATAGAGCAAATAGTTAAGTAGTTCTAGTAGTTGTTATTTTATGGTTATAACTGCTCACTACCAAAAAACATTGTGATATGCTTGGTTTGGATTTGGGTTGGGTGTTTTTTCTATTGTTTTTTTTTTTGTTTTTTTGTCTTTAAGTGTACTGCATGTCATGTGGGGTGCTGTTAGATGAGAGAGCTGTAGCATTTAGAGAGAGAGAGAGAATGAAAAAGAGAGCGAGAGAGAGCTAGAGTGGGTCTATCGAATTCGGTATTTGTGGGCCAAGGCTTGGTTTTCAATTAGATTTTTGGGCTCACTCTAATATGGAACTTACCATTTTAATATCACTAATCGTCATAATACTGCGTACGAATAGATTGATTCTGACTATGGCGGGACCATCTGGCATAGAGTTTGGTTTTAAATTGTGAGTTAACGTCGTGTTTTTTGCAATTAAATAACTTATTTTCTGATCTAACTAAACTAAGGAACTCTGCTGCCTCCACACTAAACTAGTTTAGCTGATTGTACTTAATAAAAGACTTACAAATATACATATAGATATAAGCATAATATAAGTATGACCAATTGTTGTTATAAGTAGCAATAGATTTGTAGAAAGAAAACAGTTCTTGGAAATGAACGAAACAAAACGAGAAAAACTCATAAATAAATTGTTCAAGTTTAGTTTTCTATGCATAGCTGGTTTTATAGAGGAATATTATGATTATTTATAAAATGTTCACATACTATGTGATAAAAGTATATGCTCACCTGTGCCATTTATTCCCGATGGTCGTATTCTGGCATCGTATTTGCCTGCACCTAAAATTTGATCTAAGACTTTTTTCTCCTTTTCTCGGAAATTTATTTTGGCATTATTTGCTCTGAAATCAGGATATGGATAGGTACGCACGTATAATTTTAATTTTGGAGTTTTCTGTTTTTTTTTTTTTTTTTTGGTTTAGGTTTTTTGTGTACACGTATTTTGGAGAAAATTTTGAAGTAGTTTGGAAAATATGCTGAACAAATTTTTTTTTTGTTTTGTAGCGAAAATTGCAAAAACGAAAATATTTGCATAAAATTTACAGCAAAGTGTTCTTTCTTAATATTTTGTGGATTGATTTAATTGGTTTTGATTTGGCTATATATACAAATTGAGTGGTGTGTTTTTTATTGAGTGGAGTGTATTTTTTGTGGACTCTGGAGGCGTCTTCATTATACACTGTCGCACTTATCAGAAGCCCAGGCAAAGCCAAGCCACAACAGCTGCTGGCTCTGTCCTCGGCTTGAGCGTAAATAATTCCAAAATTTATGCTCCGACAAAAATTACATGAAAATTAATTACATTTTAATGATGTTGTGAAGTGAAACTGTTAAAATTCATAAAAACATGTTATGGTAATGAGTATAAGTTCAAGTGAGAGGGGCGGGCGAGTCGGGGCGTGGCGAGGTGAGAGTGGGGCGTGGCTGAAAAAACAACAAACGCAAAAAGCGAACTACAGCTGACTACAGCACTACTTGAATTATATATGGACTTAAGTATCATATGCGACAGACAGACAACACTCTCTATATATATGTATATATATAGATGCATTTCGTAGATGTGTTATGCCTCGGGGAGGGGCGTGGCCATCTGGCAAATTAACGGCAATCGTATGCAAATCGCCAACTTAAGCGGCACTTACACTCTTGAGTGCGTGTGTAAAATGAAAATCAAAATGGGCGACGACTGCATAACATAAATAATGTAGCATACTTTTTGCAACCACTGTGTGTGATGTGAGCGAGTACGAGTACTTACAGTGAGGCGCTGCACAGGCTCGTAAAATAGAAGATCGCCCAGAAGTAGTGTCCGGTGCCCATGGCTAGGCGCAATCTATATGAATATCTCTTGCAACTGTTGCCCTGGCCGATGCTTCAGATCAGCTCTTGTCCAAGTGTCTTCAGAGCTCTCCAAGTGTGGGTTGACTAGCTGCAAGTGAAATGGACAATTGTTATATTACTTCTTTAAATATAAGTCAAAATGTTTTTATTTTTATTTCAATATTAAAATTATTTTTGCAGCAATTTTGGGAAATGAATTGAGCAAATAATCCTAAAAACATCCTTAGATATTTGAATTTCAAGCGTAATAGTTGGACGAATTTGATATATAGTGCTTAGAATAATGTCACACACACACACACTCATATCTAGTGTGCTTTAAACATGTCGAAGTAAGCGAAATTTAATTCAAAATCAAATTTTGCCAATTAGCACGCCAATGGGCGGAATATATATTGCAATTCATTCGTTGCAGATGTTAATCTCACTTCGGAGACACAAATTCAATTAAAAATGGATATTATGCGGCTTTAAGTGGCCAGCCAGTGGCCATATAAGTATATAAATATATATCTGGAAGTTGATATGGACTTCGATGATATGTAAAAAAAATATATATAAATTGTATTTCGATTTGACTTCTAAAATAATAATATTCATGACATTAGATGTGACTTCTAAAATAATAATATTCATGACATTAGATGTAATATAATAATTAAACTTAAATAAAATGGAAAATTATTTATCTCTTTATTTAAATATGTTTAATGTAAGAATTTAAGAACATGAATAGCTTAAATTAACAATTGAAAAGTTTACCACTGTTGAATAAAGTCAATAACAATTTTCAAGGAACTATGAATATTAATATTCATATTTTTAAAATTTACAGTTCATATGAGTGCTTATTGGTTTCCGCAGCATGGCTACCTAGTAAAGTAGATTAAAAAGCTATATGTGCAGTAGAATTGGTCGTAAAACCCATAAAAAATCATTAGACCCGGACAATTAAAACAATGGTCGCTGACGGACAATGAGAAGCGACTTTCCGTAAAGCCTCTGGCCAGAAGCAGACAAAATACCCATTTTAGCAGCAGTTGAAGGAACCGAATGGGAACGAGTGGGAAAAGGAGAGGCAGACGAGAAGGGGGCGGAGATGGAGAGACAAGGGCCATGCAAATATTGTAGTCGAATTAATCCTTTTATAAGCAATTTTTTACACTTCACTGGACGAAGTCGGCGCTGACGTGCTGTGAATGCCGATAAGTGCGTGTGTGGTTGCCACGCCCATTGCTGAATGCTCCTCTTATGCATATCAGTTGCATGGCAGCAACAGCAACGGCAACAGCAGCAGCTGCAGTTTTACCAGCAGGCAGCAGAACAATTGTAATGGTGTTGGCCATTGCTGACGGCCATGACCGAGTCGTCCTGAATTCTATGTGTTGTTTTTGATAAAGTGTGTGTGTGAGTGTGTGTGTAACTGTATATGTGTATGCTGTGCAACCAAATAATCAATTTAACGGAATGGCAAATGGAATGGGAATATGAATGAGAATGGCAACAGGCAGACCAGGATTCGAGCTGTGTTAATTTGCTGCTGTGCCCGCAATTTCGTGCCATAAATACACAAAGTTGCTATTGCTGTTGCTGTTGCTATTGTTGTTGTTAGGTTTTGTTGCTGTTGTTGTGCATTGTGTTATTGTGCACTCCCTGGCCTGGCCATGTCATTCTTGTTGACTGTTTTGCAGCTGATACTGAAACAGCAACAGCAACAGCAACAGCCACTAACACACACAGGCTTAGCACAGCTAGAGTTGAACTCTTGAAGCGTTATCCTGCGTGACACGCGGAAATATCGTTCAACTCTTACAAATAATATTCTTCATAAGTTGGCGTAGTAAAATAAGAGCACAACTTTCTATTTATTTACTGAAAATTGAAAAGTTGAGATTAGTCAGCTCGATGGGGAGCTTATATTTTATTGAAACAATAAATAATTATTCGCCCTGGATGATTTTACTTAAATGATAAAATGGCAGTGATTTATGAAACTTCATCAATATTGCACAACTAATATTTGTTATAAATAACTTTCAATATTGTATATTTTGTTTTCTTATATGTTGATTTATTCATACATATATCTCTCAAATATGTTGTTTAACTATTGTATTTTACTCTCCCTGACAGACAGGTTTCAAGAAATAGATTATCGCAAAATATGTGAACTTTTTGTTTATGCTGGGCCGATGTTCACCACAACAAAATGTAGAAAAAAGTCATTTAGTTATGTTTAAAGATATATATAATATATATACAAATAGGAAAAATGTGTGTCTCGTGTTCGTCTCGTGTCCGCATTGAATTCAAATGAGAAGTGGCCATCGCTAAAAGTAATCCATGGGCGTTCTAAGTTTTTGGCCCGCTGTCAAAGAAAGTTAACAATGCGACGGAGCAACTGCAACTGCAACTGCGTCTGCAACAGCGACTGTGACTGTAACTGCCAAATGCCCCACATTTGCCGCTTGCCAAGCGGCCGCCGTCACCATAGCCCCCCGACAGGCGCGGGCACCGACTCACCCTTCGCCCTGACTGCTGTTCATCCTTCTGGCTGTGGTGTAAATGGGTTTACTTTTATTTCATTTGTTTGTTGTTGCTGCAGCGTGTTGTTGTTGTTGATGTTGCCAAGTCGACACACTTTTGCGCACAGTTTTTACTACACTTTTGTCTACCTCTCTCTCGGTCCCCACCACCTCGCCGTGCCACAGCCAAGAGAGGCCAGCATTCTGCATCTCAGTTTCAGGCCGCTTGCTTTGCTTTCTTTTTATTATAATTTTTTTTTTTTTTTTTTTTGCATGTCGCTTGTCACAAGGCCTGCTGTTGTTCTTGTGGTTGTTGTTGTTGTTGTTGTTGGTGCTGTTGTTGCTATAAGTTGAATGAACGCCCGGTACAAAAAGCTCCGGGTGGACAATATTAATGGGCAGCAAAAAGATATATAGAGTTGGGTCTTACGAGGGTGGACAGTCAGTGGATGCACAGCTGGATGTCAGTTGGGGCATTATCTATTTATAGAAATAAAATTGCCTCTAAATTAAAGTGTATTGTTGTCCATGTTACATGTTGTTGGCTCCAGCTACTTTCGCCGATTGATACATACATACATAATTATATGCCACAAAGAGGAAATTACGTTTTAAGTTGAAATTAGTCTAATTAGAGTCTTAATCGAGAATCGAATGGGATGGCTGAGAACATGTACGCTGAACTAAGTTTAACTTTCGATATCAATAATAACTCAGACAATCCATAAATTGTAAAATCTTATTTGATGACCAAATCGGATTTTTTGATTGATTCTTGATTCTGTGCTGATAGTGTGTAGATCATGTTATAAATGATTAATGCCGTGCCAAATGCCACATGACTCAGTGAGTTTATTTGGCAAGGCTCAGGATTCGACTTCCGGATAAGGCTCGCACTTCCCGTAAGTTTCTCAGGCGCTCTTGGGCCTAACACTTGATTGCCCGAAAGTAATTGTCGCATAAGAAAAATGACTTTATTAAAGCTACGAAAATGTTTGCTTGTTTTGCCAAAAACTCCAAGGCAGAGTGAGAGGCAGTGTGTGTGTGTGTGAGAGAGAGAGAGAGAGAGAGAGAGAGAGAGAGAGAGAGAGAGAGAGATGGAGAGAGTGCATATGGCTTAAGGCATCATTCCGGCAATGATTTCGCAAATGCTGAAATGCCATGGCATTCTGGTTGGGCCTACCCCTTTTCCGGTTCTGGTGTCTTATGGCTTATGGTGGGCTCCCACTTGGCTTAAGGCGTCACCAGTAGTCACCCCAAGCAACTTGATTTCGCGCAGTGTGTTTCCCAGCACTGACAAACGGCGTGTTGAGCATGCTGTGTGTGCAATCTCAACGCACCCAGTTAAACACACACGCAGCATATCTGTTCATATACTTTGTTGATGTATCTACATACAAACAACCATGCGTACATACATACATACATACATACGTACGTACATACATATGTGCTTATATGTATATTTATATATATATATTTTTTCATTTTATGCCGCTCAGCGGCGCTTGTAGCTCGTTATGTTGATTGGATTTTGTGCCGCCCGCTTGTATAACGGCGAGAAAGTAGTCCACACACACACACACGCACACACACACACACACAGACACAATCAAACACACACGCACACTATTAAGGCACTTGCGCTGCTGGCAACGAAATAAAGTCAAGTGTTGTGTGAGTGTATCTGTATCTATATATGCAACTGTGCTTCTCTCTGTGTGTATGTGTGTGTGTGTGTGTGCGTGCCATAAAGCTGGATTCATTTTTGTTCGCCCGTTTCGCTCGTCGTTTTATGTATGCAAAATTTTTTTTACACTCTCGTTTTCGCAGTTTGTGTTTTTTTTTTATTATTATGATTTTCTCATTTTTTTGTTGTTTTTTTTTTTGTTGTTTCTCGCTAAATTGTAAGTAAGTGGGCTTAGTAGCATTTTGCCGTTTAGTTGTGTGTGCGTGTGTGCGTATGTGTATGTGTGACATTTTGCGGCGCAAGGATTTGCATAAAGCCCACCTCAGCCGGCGACTTAACTTTAACATTTATACTTGAAGCCATTTGATATATACTCGTATTTGCTGCCGTGCAGCTAACAATAAACCAAACCAACAACAATACAATTTCGGAGTATGACATTTCACACAAACGGCGAATGTGTGGGTGTCCGGGTATCTTGCAGTCGGTGGCTGCCACCTAGAACGAGTTCGCTTAAAGGCAAAGGTCAAAGCGTGTTGTCAGCGAGATGCGCCACAAAATTGGGTGACAAACATTTCCACAGTATTACGACAAAAGTCTGTTCACTTCAAAATGAAACCGACATCCAAATGTAATTCAATAGCTACGAAGAAACACATTTTTAAATACACAAATGTTGAAACTAAAAATACATTTTAGGTTGTGTGGAACAGATGTGAGATAAGAGATTGGAATTTTGGAAAATATTCATTCTCACAAGTTGTTAAGAATCGAAATGAAATTTAAACACTTTTAATTTGAATTTAAATAAAGTATTTATTATTTATATAATTTTTTTTAAAGATATGAACATTGCAATTTAAAAAAAAAAAT